GGGCACCCACACTCCGAAGGCAAAACATTCCTTCACTAATTGAGATTTCCGGCGAACGACGGAGAGCGAGCTCCATTCTGTGGATGTAGAGGCGTCACCTACCACGCCTACACCCCTAACGAGCTATGAGACTGCATAATGCAAAAGCTGGTCTAACACTTCCTGATGCTCGTGTCTGACGCTGGTTGTGTGTCTCCACTTGACTTCAAAGTGCGACAAAACTTGTCAAGTTCCGGATTATAAGGGCCGTGCTTCAGGTCCCTCTGGCCTGCATCGCTGGCGGCGAACATAACTCCATTCTCATGCGGTCTCTTTGACCACGCAGCAAGGCAGAATCTTAATTCAGGAATCGGATCTTTGGCCGCCTGGCGAACCAGCGACGTAATCCATGCCTTTGCCTTAGTCTTCGCATGGGATTTATACCTTTATGTGGCGGCCGTAGGAATATAGCAGCCTCCTCCGCTGACATGGCTGACATGCCCACCACTTGCTTAGCCAAAATGTCATAGGCTTGCTCTTCAGGACTTCCTGGAGGTCCTACTATCTGACTGTCACGCTGCAATGTCTCTTCACCCGTCCTAACGACCGGTAACTCGCACCACTGGCCATTCACATAGATCCGGAGGTTGTCGGACTGAAAATACCAGGCCGCCTTATGTTCCGTCAGCCAATCCAAACCCAATATTAAATCATAAGGAACGGGTCCCACTGAGAAGTGCCACGAAAGGCGTGCATGTCCGCACCACATGCTTAACCCCGTCGCAACTCGATCAATGCGTAATTGTTCACCTGTAGCTATAGTGAGCCTATGCTCTTTTGTAAGTCTCCGCACCTTGAGCTGCAATCATTCGACTGTTTTGGTACTAATGAAACTTCTCGAATCCCCATTGTCCAAGAGCGCGTCAGACGGACTCCCTGCGAGCTCAACGCGAAGCACCGCCGTCGCACCCGCATAGCACAGTGCTCCCCCTTGGTCGTAAGGCTCTTTCATGCAAGTTTCCCGCCACCAGTGTGGCGCAATCTCTGTTGCGTATGGCCTATAGCCGTCTTCTGTTGCCTCTGCAGACTTCCTGCTGCTAGCCGTCGTCGCGCCCGGAGCCTCTTCACTCAGGATTGACGCCGACTCAGACTCCCGCTGCGCTTCCGAAAGCGGCTGAGTCCCTTCCGCGTGCCCATTGCTCGTATCAGTTCCTTCCGCAGTGTTGAGGAGTTGGTTTCCCCACTCAAGGGAGACTGGAATGGCATTGGGGCCTGTCGCTACCGCACACATCATCCCTTTGCCATGGCTACGCGGCCTAGAACTCTTATCTCCAACCACGCCTAGGCCCCCTTGTTTAATCGTTCCGTCTTCTCATTACTAGGACGTGTGGGCTGCCTACTGCTCTTGTCCTCCGGCGCGGTCCGACCTCGTTCATAAGTAGGACAGTCGCGAGCATAGTGTCCCACACCGCCACATTTCTTGCATATTTCCCCCGAACGTCTGGTACGTTCCCTTTTGCTGGGGCAGACACGTACCGGATGTCCGCGACCCTGACACTCACAGCAGTTCCCGGGGTTTTCTCTAGGAAAACAAAAATGGGCGTGGTTTAGACGGGGTCCATTTGCCTCGACAGCAGCTCTGATAGCTCTACTGCCCCTTCCTCGTAGCTCTAGCACGGTCTCCTGAGGCTCGTAGAGTCACACTGACGCTGTCGCCGCTTGTTCCCAAGAGGGATACTTCACCTGCCCGTTGTTTGCCATGAGATGGAGGTCCGTTGGTAGTCGGGTGCAGTAATAGTCGGCGAGTTCGTTGGGGGCGACACCCAAACCACGCTCCGCTACAGCTGCAAATCGATCCGTGTATTCCTTACGCCTACCATTCCACCGTACTTTAGCCAACTCCGTTGCCAGTTGATTCTGCGACATTGTTTTATTGAACCGCTCCAAAAGCTTGCGCTGTGCCGTCGCCCAGCAGCCTAGGTCGACAGTTCGCTGTATATACATCTAATACGTTAGAGCTGGGCCCACAAGGTGGTCAATTAGTGCGCTTCCCCACTCGCGCGGCTCCAATCCCATCTGGGTGTACCGGCGCTCGATGCGCATCAAAAAGGCCTGCACAGTGCTGCAATTTTCTGGGAGTATGGGAAACGTTGCGTCCGATTCCCCGGTCCCGCGTATAACAGTTCTTATCACACTCATAGCGGACTGGAATTGGTCCCACATGACGAAGGGACTGTCCCCTGGCAAAACATTGGTCACAGGTGTCACCTGTGGGTGCCCCTCCTTATGCCCATGCGCCCGCTCTGCCACGATGGGCTTCGGAGTAGCATGAAGATGATGGGCCGGTGTTCCGCTGGGCATTTTGCTTACTGATTGTAGAAGTCTCCTTTTATGTGAGGCCGATAACGCGTCCGTTGCGGAGATGCATCCATTACCGAGCTAAGAAATCTAGGTGCGAATCATTTAAACAAAATATTTCTACTCCTAGGTCCGGAAAGAAACAAAATTTCATTCCCGGAGCAGCCCCCAAATGTAGTGCACAGCGCCTCCTGCTTGCGACTAGGCTGCTACCTGCCCCACGAGTAGGGTCTATGTGAGCCTTCTACCTTCGACGCACCTCTCTGAAATAAATATCCAAATATCATTAAATGTAGTTATCTCCTCCAGTTTTTCAAGTCCATTTTTCTAGAAAATCCCCCACTCAGGGTTCTTGCTTCCATGGCCCTCTGGGGAGGAGTGTAGTGCGCAGGCACTACAATGGGGCTTGCTGGCGACCTATAGAGGATAGCTGACTGATGACCTATAAGCAGTTGAGAGGTTGAGATGCTGATCGAGCGCCGCAACTTCTTACTAGTAAAATAGAAAAGCAATCTATTAGCAAAATAACTTGTATACACTAGAAATGTCTACGAATAGCCTAAGATTGTGGCTGCCTGTGCACTACACTAGCGGCGCTAAATAACTAGCGCCACATCTCTCTATGCTGTAATTTAGGCTAGTAGGCTCTGGTCATGGACCCGATATTTCCTTTGCTTCGTGCTCATGATCTGGGCAAGAAACCAGTCACCTTTTCTCTTGCCAAAGGACTGCAGCTACAGCATATCTGGGGGCATCACAGTATTTTTCAAAAGGGTTTGTGGTTTAGGGGAATTACGGTTTCCTGTAGCATATTAAACGCTGCACTAGTCCTCTTACTGCGTGAGTTTAGGAGTTCGTCCATTGCTCATCGCTCCACGATGACAAAGTACCAAAATTGACCAGTAGGCAACTCTCTAGTGATCCCTTCTAGCAATCACAATTTGGTGGAAGCATGCGTGTAAATCTAACCCATACAACTACTTAGCTCCCTATGATATCTCATCTGTAGGTTGAGTAGAGGTCAAGGGGTAGTTACGGACGCTCGAGGGAGCGTTTAATGCTTTATAACTAGTCACCATCCGCGTCTTCAAGGCGACAGAGCGACGGACTCATCCTCGTTCATAAGAGTGGCAGCGCATGTAGGGAAGTAGATACAGCTGGTCCATCGAATCGCTGACAGCTTGATTAGAGCTTGCATGGGGAAATCCAGCAGCTCTTGAGCCACACGGTAAAGAAGAGACTACCATGCGATAGGCATAAGATGCAGTGATCATGAGAGCACTTTAGTTGCAATCTGGCTCTCACAGCTTTGAAGAATAATGTTCGTTGCTCATACAATTTCCTGAACATCTCGGTCGGAGTAAATCGCGCTTCCAGGGCCTGGAGGCGCTCATCAAGAAGTCTACTCCGTCACTATCTACAGGCTGCTTACATCACATTCTATTCATACGGACTATCATCTCGTCAGACTGGAAACATCACGCTGTCTTCTCTCATGTAAGCTAACCCACTAACAAAACCATATCGTAGATAACACATCCACCTTGAATGTCACTTGAGAAGCATTCAAGATAGCGCCGCATTGGAAGTAGTACAACTGCACTGTCAGTATCGAAGCTTTCACCATTAACGACAGTGAGCAAGGGCTCATGAGGGACTCTTCTCACCCTGAGTTGTTGTTAGCCTGCAGCCAGTGGACTGACAAAACTACAATGTGCGCGGCTTCAGTATCGAAGAGAGCTTCATACCAGCGGCCAATCAGCTGAAGCCGGACGACTACGGTGAGTCCATGCTGCATTGCACATCCGGCACTCAGCAGCTGTATCTCCACTCAGCATATTGCGACACCACCGCTGCTTATTGTCTATGTTTGCGCATTGCCTCCCAAATATCTCAGAAGTTTTCTGACGCCCGACTGCGCTTCTTTGCTGCTGGTTTGGGAGGGTGTTCCCAATCCACATCCTGCTGATCTTTGTAACTTCGTGGTATCTGCTTTTGCTTTCCCCAACTAGAAAAGGCTACCATGGCGATTGGGCTTGTTGCCACTTTGCATAAGTTTCTCTCAGTCTCCCTGTAACTTGGTGCATTTGTGTCATCTGTAAAAGCTTAGTTCGACTCTTTGCACAAGCAAGCGTTAGGAACCTTACTTTATCACGTGACTACGCCCATAGTCTACCGAAGCAGGGCAGTCCCTAGCATATTAGCCATCCCCCTCGCACGTCTTACACGTTTCCGTCAATGTCTTAGCCCGTGCTTTTCTTTTAAGACAAAAAAGCTTTCGGTGGGGCTTCACTTCGCACTCATGGCAGGCGAATGCTTCTCTATCACTACTGTCATCACCGCCCCATGTCTTGTTCTTCTCTTCAACAGTAGTTCTTGTTTGCTCTTCTGCCAGCCTAAATGTCTCAGCGAACCGCGTTTACTCTAATGGTTATGCTTAGCCATGGCCCGCTCATGCAGACCGAGTCTTCCGCTCCTTCCTTCTTTGATGACAGCTTGGCTCTCATGCCCTTCTATTGCAACGCCGAAGTCCGAGTCCCAACGGTGTTTTGCAGAAAAGCGGCTTGACATGTCATCTTTTCTTCTAGTGATACCACACTTTACTCTGGCTGCGAATAGTGTTGTATAACCCTCCTAATCTTCCTTCCACTCGATTCTATCCAATTTTCCCAATATCTTCGTTTGTGACAGAAAACTGAACTGACTAGGAAACCACTGCTTTACCAGTTCTCAGTTGTTCATATTTCTGGCGAGCTCTAGGTATATACAGTGCAGTATATCACGATCCGTCTGCAGTTTATACGCTCCTTGCACCATTGTAGTGGATCTTGCACCGTATCAGTGAAGGGGATATCCAAAGGTCTCCTGGAAAAAGTCATCGTGAAGCTCCTGTTCTCGTGTTTGAGGGATTTCTATTGGTCTGGAAATGTCGTCTCCAAATGAATTCGCCCAAAAGACCCGCTCAAAAGTTCCTCCCAGGCGATCAAGTGCTCAACAGCAGTTACCTGGTTCTGCTTATCTGTTATGTAACAACCCCCAGAAGCCGGTTGTCGAGGTGTCCTGTCTCTTGGAAACCTCGGCGTTTCTTAAAGCTCGGCCCTTAGGTGTTCTGATTGTTAGTTCAAAGGGCATCTGCTGGGTGCTGTCTCTGCGAGCAACTTTGGTGAGGGCTTTTCCGGTAGTTCTACGGTTTTAACTATCAAGGGGACCTGTGAGACAGCTCGGGATATTTCAAGACATTACGCACCAAGCCTAGTTCAGCGCCTACATGAATCATGTCTACAACACCACACAAAAGTAGCACAAAGGTTTGAATATTACAGACACTTAGTTTAGGATAACCAAAAGCTCTCAAAGACGCATCTCTCTGCAACGCCTGGCCCATCCATCTCCACACAGTACCCCTTGCCTGCAGTGTCGCAGCCAGCTCAAAGCTGTGGGCCTAGCTACAGAGCTCTCCAAATCTACCGATCCCGTGAACTCTGCCGTTTTGCAAACTTTACAGGCACTGCCGCAGACGCATGTAATTTGCTCTACATGGATATCAAAGGCTACTTTTACATGCCATCGAAGCGCGCAGCACTGCAGCTCTGGTTCTCCTCAGCACTGGACCCGCCCTGTATAACAAATTTTAGTTGCTGAGTTTGTTTGATCGCCTAGGCTTGATCCTGCCACTCATCCCACCCTTGAGCTTTCATAAGCACTTCCCGCTCTGCTCGAACTCCCTTTGTTAAGTAACTGCATCCCGCAATTGCCTTAAGAGGCAACGCTGTCTGCTGAGACTTGCTGTGCCGTTCACCGCAGCACCCTCCAAGAATAAAAGTGTTTCGCTGGGAATGAACAGCAGATCTACACTCCTTGCACTCGCCAGCAGTATCTCCACTGCCTTTCAGTCGACGCCTTTACTTCCAACGTTTTTAGGTGAAATTCGCTGGATCCTGTAGCTACGCCCCGCCGTAGAAGCGGAAGCTGGGTAATAAACCAGAGCAGTGCTTCCGAGCCCTTGACGGAGCCAAGCCGCCTCAGACAAGGTTCACCGCACTACTGTGCTGACCCAAAGTTCGAGTCTCATCAGACACCGTCCAGCTCACACAAAAATGCAGACTGCCTACACAGAATATGTGACCTGAGACGTAACAATGCTTCAAACCCTCTCCGCTGTTCAATTAGGTCATCAAGTCTTCAACCCCTGTTCACTTAGGCGTGAGGAAAATATCACTAAATTGCTTTACAGCAAAAGCCCGCTGCTAGGGTACGAGGCAAAACTCAGATTAGCACGTCTGAAAAGCTTACGGGACTGACACCACACGACAACTAACATTGTGAAATGGAGAGCAGTGTCTTCCTGCCCTCACTAAAGAAAATGCCGAGCAATTTCGCACACTGTATTTGTGAAGGCCCTTCAGCAACTATCGTCCTAAGAGAGATATCCTCAATCTTCCCCCCCTTGCCAGTGGACAAACACAGAGGCTGTGCAAGGCTCCCCCTGGGGATATGCGCTCCATGGCTTGCCCGAATGGCCCCTCCCGCTCTGTTTTGCACCATACACCAACATCAGTAATTCTTCCACGAAGCAGATGAGCTTAGACCAGCGGCAGCAAGCTGGCCAAACACAAGAAATGAAACACAGCGGGATCCTTCTGGGCATGTAGCGAGGCACTAATTGATATCTATCCTTCTACCTAAGATTCCCACACCACCACAAGAGCAACACTGTATGTTCTGCAGGAAAAACGCTGTGAACTACAACAAAGAACAAGCGCACCAAATCACGCAGATGGAAGACAACTAGGGCGTGTGGAAAGCAGCTGCAGAAGCCGCCCTGTTTGTTACAACCAGTTCGATTACCACGTCTCATAGTTGTGTCCAAGTCCGTGCGTTTTGGGCAGTGACAAGCCAAATCGTGCCCTGATTCCGTTTCCCTTCACAGACTTGACGCAACCAAGAGTGGCAGCCTCACGGCCCCCAGGCGCCCTGAAACAGCTAAAAGCTACTACTAAATAGGCTGCGTCAGAACCGGCCGTCGCAAATAAAAAAAGGACCATGATGCCGCAAGGCAGCAAATCCACAAAGGCAACATAACAACCAAACGTATTGGATGCAAGGAGAAAAGACGAACAGGGAGCTGCGTGAGGCGGTAGGAGGTCACGCGGAACATATCGGACTTGAGGTATAAGTTTTCCGCCTTCGCCTTGCCTTCTTCCCATTACTCTATTGTGAGACTGCGGAAAGAAAAATGACAAAATCATGCGCCTTGTTCCTTATGTATTTCGTCGTACATCGTCCTTATCTCTTCGCAGAAAACCTGCACGGAAGGCCCACGCGCAACAACAACGTTGGCAAACTTAGTCCGAATTTACAGCTCGGCATGTACAAGCGGCTGCTTTGCGCATATTAACACAGGCATAGCACTACAGACGTATTCGCCCTGCGATGTACACAACGCTTTCCATGCAGATACAAGCAACAACCATATTCGTACTCCAGCGCTCGGCTCCTGTGGAGGCCGCCAAACATCCAACAAAACTGTTAACCACTTCTGTGCTGTGTTTTCAGCCTTCATGTTCCCCAAAAGGCGCAGGTCAGAGACCAAGCGCTTGCTGGCTGTGCCACAAATACCCCTACATATGCCAGTCGTTGTATCAATGTCCCCCACCTCCCTGACGTGGAAGTCACTAACCTCTTGTGCATAGTGACGCTTGAGTTTGAAAGTAGGCGTCAACAAGCCGTTTTCAACCGTGAATTGTTCAGAGTGGAGGTGTATTTTTCTGGCAAGCTCAAATCCCTTCAGGCCCTGCACCTTTCCAACCTGTTGCATGTCGTCGTAGACAGCCTTCTGCACTGCAGGGTCTTTTACCCACTCTTCAAAAGGCCGAGAGTCAGCAACATCAGCTCCACGCACCTCTTGCAGCCAACGCAGCGTCTGCTCCTGGTCTGGCACGACAATTGCGACGAGAGAGGTCTGGAGTGGCGAGACAAAACACGAAATAGGAGACAGCTGATATTACCGTAAGTATGCCAGAAAACCCAAATTTGACCACTTACTTCTTTCGTGTGCACAAATCACAAATTGCGCATGTCCTGCAAGTGTCCTCACTCATGTACCCATGCTCACGCATGTGCTTGTACGCACGCATTCATAAGTCGACGTAATAATGCATTATTTTGCTTGAAAAGCACGGCCACATACTTGCCAATTTCCGTATATGCGCGCAAGAAGCACCATGCATTCAGTACGTTCACTGTTTACCTGCACAGCTACATATGTGCACTGTCTATGCATGCACACCACCTGTGAGCATCTGAGTTCGTCATTTTATGCCAACTTTGCACGCATGTCGATGCGGCAGACATAATTTCTGTGCATGCTTATGTGTCTGCTTGAGCCTCGGTACGTACATCTTTACACCTGACAAATCATGAATCCATGAATGTGAATGTGTATACTTTAGCTCAATATTATAGAGTCTCTGCATTCGTCCAGCCATCGTCTCGTTTTCCCTTTAATGTGCGCCTGTGCCTGTTTCTGCTCCCCTCAATCTGTCTGTGCATGGACATATTCGTGTCAATATATGATTGTCATTTTCAAATACCTCTGAAGAAAATCCGAAGACAAAACACTGCGCCACGAATCGGCTTTGCATATACACTGTCTCCACCTTTTCAGGGGCAACATATTCTCCCTGCACCAGAGAAAACAAAGCAAACGTGTATAATGCGTCGTGAGGCTGAGATGGAACAAAGCACCAGCAGCGGACAAACGATATCAGTCAGATATAGGAGCACGCATCCTCAACAGACACTGGAAAAGCTACACACAAGGGGCAATGCTATGGGAAGCAGACGAATAAATCAAGGCAAATGCTGACACGGTTATGCCACGGTAACATCAAAGAGGTAACAAGGGATGAAGGCCAGATGTGCGAGAGACGGGGAAAGTCACAAAAAGCAAAGAATAATCACAAAAAACACAGAGTACCGTGCTACAACGTTAAATATACACAAAAATGTCGCTGTGTGAAATGTGTTCAGGCTGTTCTGCTTGACCTGAGCAAGCTTGAAAATGTTCTTCTTCCTATCTATAATTTGCACTCCCCCGTTGGGCAAAAGCGCAGCTATGTCCCCAGTGTGCAGCCACCCGTCTTGGTCTATAGCGGCTCGCGTCTCTTGCGCATTGCGAAAATACCCAGCCGAGACCGTAGAGCCCCTGACGCAAAGTTCCCCCTTCGGAATTTCATCTTTTATGGAATACTTGTTCATAGTTTCGCTGACGTCCAATAGACAAAATTCCAAAGACGGCAATACTCCACCTATCTGCCCTGGATTGTTGTCGTACACATTCCATGTAAGAAAGGAAGCGCCCATTGTTTCCGTCATGCCATAACCCTGGGCCACAAGACACCACACATTCAAGAAAATGCGCATTCGACAACATTGATTCTGTGCCCTGGAAGGCCTGAAACGTCCGGCAGGCACACTACAACAACAAAAAGCCACCAAACACGAACGGCGAGGCAAGCACCTGGCTCATCAGATTGCCGGACACATACGTCCAAATTCACAGGGGCCTAAATGAGATAGAAGCAACTTCACGTGCAAGTTCCTGAGGATTGCGTTTGTCACGGCGAGTAATGCGAACACAACACAACCAAATAACCCAATAAAGCATGAAGACCGGAAGAGCGTGCACACTGTCAGAAATGATGTATACTCAAAAACTCCAGCAGCCAAGAGCCTCAAAACCCGTTGAAAAACCCCGAAACACCCTGAAACAGAAGATATGTGCACATAGACACGCGGGAACCACAGCTGGCGACGCCTACGCTCATTCAGCTACGTAACCAAGTAAGATACGCACACACATGAATTTACATGCGTGAAAGCGCACAGACAGAACACATATGAGCCACATGAACACCAGTGAACAAGTAAACAGGGGTCATGCCTTTCTGCTTAACATGCACGCCTGTTTAATGACGCAATCATGCAAAGACAGCCTGGAATACATGAAGAGGTGTGAAAGCATGCGCGCAGGCGCGCCGTGCGCTTACTTCAACAATCCAGCAGCAGAAAAATGCTCTCATCCTCTCAAGAGTGTGGGGGTCAAGAGGAGCAGAGCCCGTTAGCATAATACGCACGCGACCGCCCATGAGATTCTTGAACTTGTCAAACACAACCTGTAGCGACGAAGCAGGAAAAGCCACGAGCAAGATATGCACTATGTCCAGAAAGCGGCAGTTTCACTATAGAAACAGTACTTGAACAAAACGCGCAGACCAGCGTGGACCCTCCCCAACAAATAGCATTGTGCTGCCGCGCTTGTATGCCTGCTTCGCCTTACCTTGTCCCAGAACGGATGCTGAGGTATGCCTGAGCTTCGCAGACGTCGAATTTTCGCGGCCAGGGCTGAGAAGCGCCGACAGAGCATGCGACAGCATCCAAGAAGCAACGTCAAGTGCAGGCGATGGCCCAGCCGAGTACACTGTGAGCAACGCCGCGGTAGAAGTCAGTCATCGCGTCATATCTATGGTCACTGTTTGTGTCATGCATCCGCGCTCTTTCGTGCGCACGCACAGAATGACACGAGCATGAATTTTGACGTCTGTGGCTATCTACCGCCAAATGGTAGTGCCGGAGTGCGTATCTCCCGTCAGTACTTCAGAATTGCATGCTGCGCCCCCTCGGCCATCAGTGCAAAATATTGTTGAGAGGAAGCAATACAAAGTGGTGAAGGCAAACGTGTACTCTAAAGGCAGATGCTCAGTGGCTATTACCTTGGTTGAAAAGGGATCGCGCCACGAACGACTTTCCCTGCAGGCTACTAGTTACTCTGGCTTCAATCCTCTGGAAGAGCCGAGGGACGCTGACGGACCAAAGACCCATAAAGCGCAAAACACGAAAACACTCTTCGTGTTGAAGTAAATACACCGAGAGGATTCAAGGGAAAACTGAGTAAACTGTCGATTCAGCAGCGCGTAGACATGCACAAACAAAAGCAGGCAATGCAGCGCACCCTACAGAGACTAATGCTCCTGTTCTCAAGAGTACAAAAAAAAGACGACAATGAAAATGCAAAGAAAATAAAGGTTATGAGACTTGCGCCTTTTCACTTTCCTAGATGCGTCCCCGCCCATATGCACGCATTCTGCACAAAACGACAGATTTCACCTTCCTTGGGAAGTCCTTACCTGCAGAAGACTGTAGGTTTCAAAACCTGCACATCGTCCAGCAATTTGTGAGTGTCCTAAAAACCACAGACCAAAACGGCGCACAAGTATTCAACGTAGTTAAGTGCAACGCTTTGAAGTGAAGGCAGTTAAAAGCCCGTACACCGCAACGTCACCAGAGCTGTCGGAAAACGAAAGAAGCTTTCACTTTACAGAAGTTACAAGCCTAGGAAGGCTACGTTACCGACTAATGAAGTGCGTTTTTCAGGCTGTTGTGCTGCAATCAAGTGAAATTGTTTGCTTATGTGAGACTGCTGAAAGTGAACAGGGAAGCCTCACGCCAGAGTAAAAGCCAACCCTGGCGCCGTAGCTGAAGAACACATTTTCGCAAAAGCGCTCGTAAACGTGTGCGAGCGGCAGGTAGGAAAGTAAGCAGTCGGACGAATACAAGTGCAAGCCGTTCTCGTGGAGAGCTGATGCAAACAGCGAAATAAGCTCAGAACAGAAGAAAAAGCTGTGAGTTACCTAGAGCCCTGTACAGCATAAGACCCAGCATCCCTTGTGGTGTTTGCGTTCCATAGAGCTTGCAAGTTGTTTTGGTGCCTTCAATATTCCCGTGTTGATGCAAACATACAGCCGATTACAGTAGTGGTCGCAGAGAGCGTCCAAATGTTTACCTCTTGTCACAAAAAAACGCAAGGGTGCCGACAGGACAAAATTATGGGGAAATAATGGACGAATATGAAAAAACTGCAGATGCGTACTCTGGAGGAGAAGTCACCACGACAGGCAAGGAGTGGTAAGCAAGAGACACAGAAGACAACCCCGAAAAACGGAGAAATAGATTTGCAGGATGTGCATAAAGAAATAACAGTAGACAACAAATATGATGTGGAGACACACGGCCTTCAATAGCAGTTGCGACGCAAGCTACGAAGTTCCCGTGGGACATCATCACGCCTTTCGGACTGCCAGTCGTCCCTGCAAGGCAGGACATACAATATTGAGCCCTAAATCCTATGCCCTAAACGGCAATCTCTGAGCTATAGGCCTTCTGTCGAAAGCCCTATGCTCGAAGGAAAGCATGGGCGTCCAAGACTGCAAGCGGCATCCACAAACTAGGTGACTGCGGAACTGGAACATTAACTGTCTCAAAGAAGCAGGCTCTTTCGTAGCTAGCGATTGAGCTTGATTGCTACCTAACCGCTTGTACGTCATTGGCTAGTTAAACAGTCCACTGCGCTCTTGCCTGAGGTGTAGCAGATGGTGTGTAGGGACTCCAGCGTCGGCTGCACCTCATTGGAAAGAGGAACCACATTCCGCCTTCCCTGTAAACAAGAAGGACAAAAATCTCCAGGGAAGTCCGTCATAAGTTTATTCGCCAGTACCAGTGTCGCTAAGAAGCACGTGCTGATCCACCTCATAAGCTCGTAAACGGCCAGAATTCGATCTATTCACACGTCTCAGTTCTCAAGGAAGCTTCGAAACACATGTTTCCTTTACCGCCCCTCCCCTGCTCCTCTGTCGCTATGCTTCTGGTGTATTTAATCCATTTCGCCGCTGTCGAAGGTATTTCTGACGATGCGTACGAGCTCTAGTAAGTCGTTCCACGATAGCAAACGCAAGTTGAGAGCGGCGGCTCTCTCCTTCTGATCTTCTGGTATATCATCCACCGTGACTATACACTCCATAGCAATTTCGCGCTGCTGGCTGGTGGCGCTGGAGCTGTCTGCGGTATGCTGCTGTTGCAACGCGTCCAGGAGTTTGACGAGACAGTCCCCGTCACTCACGACGGTTTTCATCTGCGTCTCTCCTAATATAAATCGTGTGCTCTGTGGCCCCAAAGTGTCGTACAGGGGGATGACTGTTATGCCGTACGCGTTTGCTGCGAGCAACATCCACATAGACATCACATTCCTCATGGCACTACCATTCGTAGGTAGACGGAGATGACCCGCTTTTCGAATAATTATTGTGCACATGCTCTAAAGACGGATGTGCGTGTCTGCTCTAAAGACGGATGTGCGTGTCTAGACACACTGTTGTGCATAGGCATGTTGAGATACATGTATACGCGTACTTAAAAAGTAGGGGACGCGAAACACCTTGAAGATACTTCCACTCTACGCTCACACATGCATCTGTGCAATCCTTGCAACCGAACGTGCTAACGTGCTACTACTCCAAAGCACGGACGCATGAATAAGCTAAGAAACCAAAAAGTAGACAAGCAAGTAAAGGGGAAACTAAACGAGAGAAGCAAATGGACTGACGAGTTGAAACTCACATGCATGCTCTGTTATGACCCATTCCTCCCTATTTTTAGCAAAAATGCCTATGCAACGTAAAGCTAGCTCGCTGCCCGAAACGTCAGTGAAAACCCGCTGGGGCACAAGGTCTTCGTTAAGAAGACCGCTGCCAACTTCTATGGCAAGTCGCTCCACCTGAAGGTTGCACAAGCGAACTTCAGGAAAGCACCATGACGGAGAAAAAGAAAACGCATACGTAGGAGACTGATTCTGATTGTTATATGAAGCCTCGGAGGTAGCAACAGATGCATCAAATGTATCCATCACAGAGACCAGACGAAAAGTCAACCACACAGCAGAAAACGGGAAGAAAAGTAGACAATGCAACCAAACATAGTCTGGCGAAAAAAGTAAAAGCGGCCACAGCGCCAAAGAATGACATTGACAGAGTGGTTTGAGACAAGAAAATGACGAAAAATTATGGACGCGACACAGAAAAGTTTACCTCTCTGTAAGTTTTCCACACATAGTCTCCCTTCCTTCCATCAGGCAGGAGCTGTCGAGTTCCCAAACAAGGACCTTCAGGGGATCGGCCCACTCCCATCTGAAAAAGCTCCCACCTGCACCCAAAACCTGAATCCTCATGCAAACTGCTCTGATTCGTCTAGACCTACGAAGGTTGCAGACGGGAGTTGTGCTCTCTAGTTCGCCTACAGGACTCTCTGCCGCACAAGCTAAAGCTAGTTATTTCTCACGCATTTTTGACTGGGTTAGTCGAAAAATTGTCAGCTAGCCGGTCTAAGCAAGAATAATGCCGACGTGCTGCTGTGCGTTCAGCTGCACGCACACACCACCGCAAAAGAGCAACATATCCGTCTAGCTATCCAACTACTTGGTGCCTATGCAGCGCAAAACTCCACAGAGATATATGTTACTGAACTGCGCTACGGGCAGGTCCATAGTTGGTTGTTTGTGACATTAATGCAGAAGCATGCACATAACTTCTGTGTTTATATATGTCCGCATACTACCACCATGCATTAAACAAATTTGTGAGCAAGCTTGTATTTTAATGAGGTAGCCGTTGCCACGTGTTGGGCCTGATAATAAAAAATGGGCGGAAGAGTTAGGAAATGAAAGCAAGAAAAAGCGGGTCAAATACGAGACCAGGGCCCGCCAGCAGCAGCAACACGGCGCGGCGACAATTCAATGCAGCTCTTGCAGGGTTAATATTTGAGCATGCGAAGGCACATTTGCCGCACCCGTCTCCTCTGAGCCTGGCACAAGGACTGAATACTGCACGTCCTTCACAGATGAGTTCGCTGCCCCCATCCTTTATTCTGCTGTTTTGACTCCAAGTTGTGCGGGTTGGCTGGTAGTTTTGCAGCATAAGCAACGAAGCCACGCTTCGTATTCAGTATCCTTCAGGCTGAACCGACGGAATTTCTCTGAAGGCCCCGCCAGCTTCGGCAGAGGACGTGGGAACGGCAGAAGTATTGGCTGGGCTGAGCTTCGCTTGGAGCACCGCGGAGCGTCGTGGAGCAGGCAAATGCTGCCGAGGGACACTGTAATGAAGATTAACACAAGAGGTCTAATTTCTGCTGCATGAGGCGTAGTGAGACATGAAAAATAGATGGACAGGTCTCCAATAGGGACGGCGCAGCAGAAGGGAGGCCGAGGCGGGCCGTCGCGAGTCGCAGACAGCTCAATAGGACAAAAGCGGTACACGTGAAGAAACTCCACTAATGAAAAATACAGAACAAGATTGTTTTACACTTTTGCAGTGCTTCCAGTGTAAACAGACAAACAGACAGGCATGGGGCTTCCTCAGCCCCGCCAGGCCCGCCAGGTACGTTGCCTGCGCTTCAGCTGACTTTAGCATCAAAACACAAAGTCGGTGAGTACACTAAAGGAGATAAAATTGAGTACGTTTTTTCGCAAACTGTGCAGTGTAGTAATATGTAGTCTTAATTCTTCTGCGATCCGTGGGCACTTCGGGCCCTCACACCAACAACACTCCAGGGATGAATCCCCTAAGAGAAAAACAGGCAGAGGGGGCATAAGCTATGACGTCAACTTCAGTAACAACAAAGTTGATGTGCCGAAGTTGCATGTGTAGGGCTTGCCACCTATTCTGTCATGCCAGTTGCTTGCCACAGAAATTCGTGGTGTTAGGAGTCGAACCTCCCTGGCCTGCTCCCCAATTCGCTGGCTTCCTCTGTTAGACGTTGTTTCATTGGTCGTTTGACGCCATATACAAGGTCACTGTATTTGTGCTGCGCATGGCACAACGTCTGCGCGCTGGTCTCCATGCTCGTTAAGGACCTAGCGAATGGCGGAGTGTGGTTGAGTTAGTGAGGCAAGGCCGATAACAGGCACACAGTAGCCACGTCAGTCTAGCTCGCCTCCAATCAGTCACATTTTATCTTGCCAACGCATCGCCCGTGGCCTCTCTCCTTGGTTTCTGACTCGTCCCCTCATGCTGGGTAAGCTACTGTACGAGCCATGATGCTCCAGGCACGCGTACGAAAATGGCTTAGGTTGATTGTATGGTAGACGTGCGAGAAGGACTGAGAACTGTGCCCGGATCCTTCACTTTCAGGCGAAACGCCCCTCGTCAGACCCGAAGAAGCTCTTGCCACCTTTCCGTGGGGTCATCAGGAATACATCTACTGCGTCCATGAGTTTTTCCTCTTCGCAAGACCTGATGTAGCACTAATGTGCGACGGTGCACTAATGTGCGACGGTGAGAAAAAAGTAACCACGTAAACTACGAAGCCGGCACTTAATTGTACAGTTCAGAGGAACCGTACTGAGGTAAACGAGCAAGCGCTCAATAATCCTGAATAGGCAAAAAGAGTATAACCTCAGTGGTGTACCTACTGCCAACACTTTAAGCGACAAGCTTCACCTGTACTTACACCCGAACCCTACAACCCAAACAAGCCAATCCTCGTCTACACTTCCTATCTCGCCTGACACCTATGAAAACTAAAAGGCGACGTATGCCATTTCAACGCTACTTCCCACGAAAGAAATGTGTCGGAACCGATATTTCAATGCCTCGCAAAAATGTTCTGCACCAGTTCCTGAGGCCCAAGTGGCGGCGCTCGCAGAGCGAGAGCGTCTGCCAATGTTGTATTGAAATGTACTCCAATCGTTCTCTGATGAAACTGTATTCACCCACGAAGTGTTGGCTCCAAAGTTTCCCATCGACTTTGCACACAAAGAGGAATACCGCAGTTACAAATCCTTCATTTCTCTCCCGTTTCTCACGAAAAAAAAAAGTCGCCGAGTCGCCCTTTGGCGTGTACGAAGCGCCGCTCCTTCATACCCGTGGCCCTCTTTAAGTGTGCCACTCGTGCACTGGGAACTGCCCATTTGTCTTTCCGCGGCATCGTCTACAGTAATTTGTCTACGGGAGCATTCCCGTTGCATTTGGTCCGCGGCAGCGTATGGCTCAGCGGAAAAAAATGAATGTCAGAGCATCCGTTGTGATAATGCGCAGAGACGTACGGTCAATCTTCTTCTTTCTTTTTATCCTTTTTACCCTTGGGCTTGAAAATGTCGGCTTCGTCGGGCCCTAGAACGTTCTCATCAGAAGGCTTCAGTCCCGTCCGCGCTTCAAATTGCATGCGGGCAAGCCTGGCATTGGAAAGCTTCTGCCTTTTTTTGTTGTGCCGGCGCATCAGCCACGAAAACAGTGCTAAGGCACCCCCAACTAGAGCTACAGTGCCAGCCCCTCTAACAAGCCGAGCAGCTGACGGATTGTGCGCTACGCCCCCTGCATTTTCGTGAGCCTTTCCAAAACCCGTCAGACCGCCCGCAACTGCGGCGCTCACTCCGCTCATCATGCTAAGCCTCTCCCACCACTCCTTTTGCTTCTCGGCCCTCATGAACCTGTCGTACTCCTTTTTCCCTGTGACCACACGGCAATACAGGCAAGCTCGTGCACCTCTGCCTCCCCACTACCACACGTACGCTCCTCGTTCTGTAGAACGCTCACTCGCAGGCAACGGGTACAAGAATGCACTTATTCACGCCTACACGTGAAAATAGTCAGACCCTCAATACTGAGCTGTGTCCTAACAGGCAAGTGTACAGAAGCTTCAGTCAACGAGTGCTTATTCACATACACAAATCGGTTTCTTCGAGCTCCTCCGGGGTAAACTCAGCGACTTCCTGTTCCTGATTCTTCTTAACTGCATGCACAAGGACAGTCGATCGCATACAGTGGGTAAGCGGCTACTGACTGGTAACGCGGTCTTTGGTGGCCTCAGTATGAGACTGGAGCAAGCAAACACGAGATCAATCGATAAAGTGAAGCATTATACGCCATTCGCTATGGGTGTCTCGTGAGTAGGCTGAACGTAAACATTGCCAAACCGACTTGTTGCCTGCTTATATTCCTTGCTTTCCAAAAGAAGGGTCTGAATGTCCTCCTTCAGCTTCGCCATTTTTTCTTTTGCCTTCTTAACCTCCTCAGGAGACTTTAACTTATCCAGCTTTTGGGCTGCTTCATCTCGCGCTGCTCGTGTTGCAGCGAGCCTTGCCGCCTGAGCTCCATGGTAGTCCCTGTCGACTATGCTTAGAAAGCACAATAGCCCGAGCACAACCAAGTGACACGTCTGCGCTTTAAAAGCCTTCATTGGGCTCTGGTTAAAAACCCATCAAATGAGCTGTTCGTCTAATTCCGTTTTGCGACCACTGCGGTTGACCAGAGAAGACTTGCTAGCGCTCGTGAAGACGCCACGATCGCGAGCCCATCCGCTGCTTTCCTCTAGCTTTAAAGCTGAAAGCACGAATATTAGCTATTAACCCAATAAAAAAGATCGAAATTTTGGCGAGGAAAAACAAATCGTACCCAGAATCGACGGTGCCGCTTGCTGGCAAGTCTGGCTCGGGGATGACGCTCGCGCCGAGCTTTTCGAATGACAACAGCGGCCACCTGTAGCAATTTAGTCAAGTTTGAAAGAAGAGATCAGAAAAACGATATAAATAAGTAGCAAGTTTAAATGAAAGTACTAAGCGCTTTTATGCGGAGACTCCTATTATATGAAGTTGCCCATGCTAGATGGGCTCTTGTTGCGTTGGGGCCCTCTAAGCCTCCGTCATGCATTGCACTGCTTGGGCTGGCGTGGGGCAGTGAGGTCACGGTCCCTTTCAACATGAGCACATAGTTTTTCTTGTCGTGCTCTGTGAGCAGTTTGTTATTTACTTTAAAGGCGAGCCAAGGATTTGGCTTGTTTATGCAAGTGTGTCTACTTTATTGAAAGTACACGCCTGCAAAGGCTCCGTTCTGTAGGTGCCTGCCCCACATTAGAACAAGTTTGCAGCCTCCTTCCTGTTCTGCACCACGACAATGGCAGTAAGTTCTCTTGATTTTTTTTGGCGTGGCTCTGTTTTCCTTAAGAGGTGGTGTAATGCATGGGGGGCTTAATGCCGAGGAGAATGTAGAAGACCTTGTGAGGAACTGTGGGGCGCGAGAGGCAGCCCAATATCTCCAAACTCTGCGCTGGAAGTCTTTTCCCGGCAAACTGTGGTCCCTAGAAAAGCAATGTAGCTTCCTTGAAGGAGCAAAAGCCCTCTGAGAGAATTGTCTTCGAGCACTACGTTTCCGCCGGAGCTCTCGGCATTCTGGACAGGTGCTTGTGTCTATTTGCCCGCAGAAAGCGAAAGTGGCACAGCCCGTCGCGAACGACGATTCACTTTCTTCGAGCGAAGAAGAAGTTCAGCCAAAGAAAGTTGCGAAGCCGGTTTCCACTGCGAGTAAGAAGAAAACTGCCCCGGTGCCGCCACCGAGCTCCTCCGATGACAGCTCTGATGAGGATCAGCCGAGTGCAACTGTAGTGAAGAAGGCAGCGGCTGCAAAAGCAAAAGCAGCTGGCAAAGGAATAGCTGCGAAGGCTCAGTCGCAGGCTCAGGACTCCTCCGAATCAAGCTCGTCAGAAGATGATACACGTACGTTATGCGCGTTAGCGAGCAATGTGAAATGGCGATCAGCCAGCAAAGCTTGAACTGATTGCTGTTGGTTCAATGTAGGCCAGCATGCGCTGAAGTGCGTTTGTGCACGGCAGTATGTGGTTAGTGAGCCTCGATGCTAGTGCATGCGTAACTATCGTATTTATTGTATTTCTTATGTATCGCGCTTTTGCGTGGGCGGTATCCAGATGATGAGCATTTTTGCTACTATTGACCTTTCGGGACTGATATTTTTCCACCAAGATCTCTGATCTGGAATTCGCCCAATGTGCAAAAGACCGCGAGTCAGAATTACTTGTGCACTGTGTACTACCACCTTATGTTGATGTTGATGTATCTGCGCCTGAGTGCCGAGCGTTTCAACTGTTTTGCTTGCAGCGGCTGCAAAAAAGGGGAAAGGCGCAGTGACTAAGCCGGCGTTGCCCCAAAAAGCCGTTGCTCAGAGTTCTGATTCAGAGGATTCGTCTGAAAATGAGCCACCAGCAAAGAAGCCAGCGCAGAAAGTAAAGGCTGGGGTCCCACAAAAGAAAATCGCGCCGCCAAATGACTCCGGGTCTGACGACACATCCTCAGAAGATGAGAAGCCCGCCCCGAAGAAGGCACAACCCAAGGCCAAGGCGGCCCCTGCTCAGAAAAAGGCTGCAGTGTTGCAGGATTCTGATTCAGACGAGTCCTCCTCTGATGACGGGTTTCAGGCAAAAAAACCAGCACCAAAGGCGAAGGAGGCACCTCCACAGAAGAAACCAGCAGCGCCAAAGGACTCTGACTCGGATGAGTCATCCGAAGACGAACCACCCCAAGCGAAGAAGCCAGCAGCCAAAGGTAAGACGGCAGTAGCAGCACCTCAGAAGAAAGCAGCGCCTCCCCAGGATTCCGACTCAGACGAGACATCGTCTGACGACGAGCCGCCCGCCAAACCGGCGGCGCCGAAGGCTAAGGCTTCCGCGCCACCGAAGAAGACAGCAGCAACAACGGAGGACTCGGGTTCAGACGAATCTGATTCAGAGGAGAGCTCCTCTGACTATGAGGCGCCAACGGGAAAGAAACCAGCAGCTAAGGCCAAGGCAGCGCCTACGAAGAAAGTGGCTGCAGCGCCTGATAGCTCCGATAGTTCCTCATCTGACGAAGAACCCCAAGCTAAGAAAGCAGCACCTAAGGCCAAGGCAGGCCCGCCACAGAAGAAGCCGACTGTTGCAAAGAATTCTGATTCAGATGAGTCCTCATCTGAAGACGATGGGCCCCCGGCGAAAAAGCCAGCAGCTAAGGGCAAGGCGACAGCAGGTCCCAAGAAAGCAGCAGCGGCGCAGGACTCTGACTCTGACGACTCGTCTTCTGAAGAGGAAGCTACCGAGAAGAAGCCTGCAGCTAAGGCTAAGGTTGCAGCGCCGCTGAAAAAGGCAGTGGCTGGTGATTCCGATTCAGGGTCGTCGGAGGAGGAGGCAGAAAAGCAGCCACCTAAAAAAGCTGCAAACAAGAAAGGGAAGGCTGCAGACATGGAGATGGAGATTGATGGTAGTAGCTCAAAGAAGAGAAAGCAGGGGCAGGACCACCAACAGGCCCCGAAAAAGAAGCTGCAACTCACTGATCAGTCCGCTGCCGCCCGTATGCGTAGTGAGATCTTTTGCGGTGGCCTTCCGTACTCCGTTACAGAGGTGAGGAAGAAAAGGCCACAGGCATGTATTTGGTGTGTTTGCTGCATGGGGTGATTGCCGCAAATTTGTCCGACGTGCTCAAGTGCTGGCAGGCTCCAGCGGGACGCGTCTTGCTGCAGTCTCTGTGGCTGATTTCGTGGTCCCTCCATTTGCCCTGCAAAAGTAAAGTGGCTTCTGTTTGACCCTTGACGCAGTTTGACATGGCGTCACGGGATAGGAGGGTCATATACTATTGATACAACGAAGTGCATGCTGTGCGTCGGTACCTTCGCATGGGAGTGAATTGGAGTATGCTTGTCTGTGCAGTTTCTTGTCTCTTCAGGAACAGCTGAAGGAGTTATTTGAGGCGGATTGTGGGCCGACAACTCGCATAAAAATTTTGGAGGGGAAGGGAATTGCTTTCATCACATTTGAATCCGAGGAGGGCGCTGCGAAGGCTGTAGAGTTCAACCAGACAGAGTATGAAGGCCGCACATTGCGGATTAATCTTTCAGCTGACAGGCAGCAGGGTGATAGGGGCAAAGGTGACGGGAAAGGCACCTCTCCTAGGGAAGACAAGATCAAGGCGGAACCTTGTAATCAAATCGTCCTGAGAAACCTGAGCTTTGATACTACTGAAGAGACCATCAGGGAAACTTTTGGCGACTGTGGTAAGCCTCGATGCCGAGGCATTGGCCTTGCGCATGTTGGGTTGCTGTCTAGCATATTTTTTGAACCCTCATATGCTTATTTGTGTCATTGTTTTCCATTGGTTTGAAACCTGCCTGTTTCAGGGGAGATTCGAGCAGTGCGTATCCCAGTCTTCGAAGACAGTGGGAAGCCTCGTGGGCAAGCCTTCTTGGAGTTTGACTCTGTGGAGTCTGCCACGAAGGCACTTGAGTACAACAATACAGAGCTGGACGGTAGAACAATTTGGGTAGCGTATGCCCTGCCCAGAGGCTCAGGCGGTGATAGGGGTGGCAGAGGCGGACGTGGGGGCCGCGGCGGTGCGGGTGGCGGTGGTAGGGGAGGGGGACGAGGTAGGCGCGTGGTTTGCTTTGCCGCAAGCAAGTATTGCATTCATCAGCCTGCTACGCTACGTTGGGTTTTCGTTACTTGGGCCGCGTTTTTTACATGGGGACGGTCCGTGTGTGTTTCTCGTTGGCATTATCTATTTCCCGTTGGAGTTTGTCTGCAGGTGGTGGCCGTGGGGGGTTCCGAGGAGGTCGGGGGGGCGGTGCCTCTGCGGTGAAGGCTGCAAACGCGGGGAACGTGCAAGAGTTTCAGGGGAAGAAGATGACGTTTGACGACAGCGACTGAGCCGCACGTGCTTCCGTCGTAGTTGTGGACTCATTAGTTGAGGATATGTTGGGTCGGCGCTAGATATTCCGATGGGATCGTAGGCTCTTCCCTGGCACCATGAGCGGAGGGGGGGTCTCAAATTAGCGTTATAGGCACAGGCAGTGCAGGATAGCCAACTTTCTGCCAGTCCATGGCATTGCAACTGTGGGCTTAGGTGCGCTGCGCTGTCGCTCGGCTTTGCACACCTCGCAATTTTTGATACTTGCACCAACGGAGGGCGCGAGGCGTAATGCTTTAGCTCATTTTGTCTTTGTACACGACACATGGTTCAAAACGTCGGACGGTTCGTATGGAGGCAGTGGTAGTCTAGGCACAGGCGTGGGCGCTAGGCCTTGCGGGATGCAAACCAGCGATCTATGCCAGGACGGGGGGGAAAAGTCTCAAATTCTGTAATGATGGGACACAAATAAGACCCGTAGTTAGGTAATTCAGATTATCTGTTCCTAGACCCCCATTTAGGGGGTAGAGAGTCGATGCTTGGAGCGGATGGGGGAGCTCCTGGCTTGGGCATTTTGGCACTGCAGAACTCGCGGTGGAAGAGCAGCGCACTAACGAGTAGTTCCACGAGACGGACAACCGACAACAGTGCCACGAGAAGCCACAGGAATATAAAGTGGGGTCTAATTGTGCAAAAAAAGGCGGCCTCAGCTGCCGCCCGCTCCGTCTGTTGCATAGGGTACATTGGGTAGTCACACACCACGTTGAGGGTTGCAAACTCGAAAGTCATAGCGAAGAAGGAGACAGCGTTGGTGAAAAAGAAGACGAAATTAATAAGCATGTTCGTACACGACAGTAAGTGCGACCGCAAGTGCGCCATCCACACAGTAAACGCCCCGCTAGCCATGTTACTCACCGCGAGAATATAACCACCCCATTTCAACGCAGCAAAAAAGAGGCCCATCTGAACTACCATGGGGCTCTGAAGCCCTCCCGTATGCACCGCCGTATCCATCGTTTCAAGCATCATTTGGTTGCTCTGCCCGCCAAGCATGATGGTGGAGCATAGCAGATATCCCGCAAGCATAAACTTCACACAGCCAAGCCCCAGCTGCGCCGCCCACAGCCGCGAGTATCGCTGAAACACCAACAAGCCAGTGCTGCACGCGCAGAGAATCGCGACTCCTAGGCAAGCGCACGAAAGCCCCAGCTGGTTGCACATGTTGACCGAGGCCGCTCCTATAGATGCGCTGTCAGGCCTGAGTGAGCCGTTAACATCGAAGCGTTCCAAGTCACAGAACTGATACGTAAGGAAGACCACTGGAATAAACACCCCCACGCACGCACCCACCCAGGCGGTGCAGCAGGTAGTTACCTTGACCTCATCGAGGTACGCCTTTCGCGTGCCTTTAAGCAGCGCCTGGCACGTAAAGTAGCAGTTGCCGGCCATGGGCAGCAGCATTAGTACCAATCCCGCCACTAAGGATCCTGTGATGGACTCGTATGCCATAACGCCGATCCCGAAGTTCGGCAGAGCCCGAAGCAAGATAGGAAACGCCAGGATGCCGCCCCCTCCGCTGCACTTAGACATGTCTACACATGACACAGCGCGGCCCATCCGCTCCAGCGTCGTTAGCACGATTACTAGCAGCGCCAGGGAGCTGCCAATTCTCAAGGCCAACGCGCACAGAAAGAAACGCCATAAAACAGACCCGGGAGCTAGCCACAGCTTACTGCCCCTTTGACCTATTACGACGTCCTCTCCCATTGAGCTTTGCGCCAGGGTCCACTTCTCTGTCGGCCGTTTCAGAATCCCTTCCTGCTTCCGGCCGCTGCGTTGCCGCGTTGGCCCCCGTCCTCCTGTTGTGGAGGCGCGCCTCAGTAAGGCGCTGCTACCCGCAGCAGCTCCGGGAGGCGACGCTCGCCCTGCAGAACCCAACGCGCGAGAAGCCCCACCTCCACTCGCCACGGAGCCCTCAATGGCTAGCGGAGCCAACTGCATGTTTTCCCAAGGGGCCTCATCGTTTGTGTTAACGGGATGTTCAGGCTGGCATGAACGATCATACGCCTCGCCTGAGGCAAATGATGACTGCACGTCGTCGGCTTCGGACCGAGACTGGTCCACGTAACAAACGCCTTCCCCTTCCTGCTGCTGCAGCTGTCGCTGCCGATGCTGCTGCTGCTTCAGCTTCTGCTGCTGTTGCTGCGTGACGTCCACTGAACAGCCTGATGGGCCTGCACTGGGACTAGCAGATGCCGGGGCAGAGCTAACGGAGGCCTCATTCTCCGATCCCCCGGGGGTTGGAGCGTCTCCGCGAGCCATGGGCTGCCACCGCCCTCTCTGGCCAGCCCGGCCTGACTCGGGATAGAAAGGTTCAGAAGGGGTAACATCGAACTCGTGACTAACGCTGCTACTGTTGTTGCGCCGGCTGCTCTGTTTGCTGCTTCTCGATGCCCCTCTGTGGGGAAAATCGTCGCGAGATATCTCAATTGAGAAGGAGCTGCTCATTTTCTAGCTCTTCGTGCCCAGCTTTGACCTTTCGCCGTTTGTGGTGTCGCTGCTTGGGAACAGCAAGAACTTCTTGGGTGCCGCAGAAGACGTAATGCGTGGCCGGCACCTGACCTTGAGGAAAATCTTCCTTCGCCTTCTCATAAAAATGTGTGCACTGCTATCCGCCTCCATGCAAGATGCGAATAGGCCTGTATAACAAGTATTCGAGTCTTCAACTGGTGGTGCAGTGCTGCATTGCTGCCGCCTGCGCTGGCCGCTGAGGAAGCATCACCAGGCACTGCAAGCTGCGGCATCGATAAATGCAATGCCAGGTGTGTCCATCCATGTTCAGGATTAATGACTTCGAAAGACAAAGAGTCAAAGGCAGAAAATAGAGATCTCTGCAGCGTCTGCACAGATTGATGGACAGTCAAGGACGAGATGGGACACAGAAGAGCTGCGCGAAGTAAGCGCTGCTGCTATGAGCAGAGGCTAAGTCACCATATGGGAATACAAATAAGAACTAATCATGCTTTGTGAGCTACAAAAAAAAACTCTGAGTAGGGCAAACGGCCGCTGAACGCTGTCGAGCCTGAAGGTGCCGGATGCTATTGTCACCGCCTCCAGCAATCTTATGGAAGTCTCGGCAAAACCGTAAGCTGTATCAAGGCGTCCTTTTTAAATAAGAAATGCTAAACATCTTGAACAGCCACTGGTGCTATCCGTTATTTTGATTGAAGTACGAACGGGCGAACGACGCATGCGATCGGGAGGCCCGCCAACTCTGCACTGCGGGGGCATAGCCGGAACAAACCGCACAGCAGTGTCCCCAGCACTCATGGTTTACAGCGAATAAAAGAAATAATCTTATCATGGCCAGGCTAGTAGGTTTGCTGCCAGAGGGCCCATCAATTTCTGTTCACCTAACTGCCCAGCAGTGCACAGTGCACACAGCCGTACGCACAACAGTGAAAATATATACAAAGTGAAGAAGTAATTAATTTATCATACATCAGCCACAAGTTTTCGTGCTGAGAGTCCGTCAGCTGCGATTGACATACACTTCCCAAGAGTGCACATTGTGAGACGGCCTGCTTGTTCTTCAGCTGCACGCATTCCTGGGGGAAGTTAGGACCATTGTCTTTTCGTACAGCGCATTTCCTGTTTAAGTCGCCCCTTGAAGATAATCAGCTTCCTTGTGATGGAATCAAGGGGCTGGTCCTTGCCTGTTGTACACGGCGGGGAGCGCCGTCGTCCCTGATGGCCTGCGATGTCGGTGACGTTTGCCACGCAGTCCCCTGCTCACAGCCCAGTGGCAAATGAAATTTCTGAAGCAGTCACTTCCTGGGATAAACGTCCCAAAGAGCCAGAACGGCAAAGCAGATCTGTGGACTTTGCCAGAACATTTGCGGTGTTGATGCACGCGGTGCAAACGAAAGCACGTAACCACGCAGCTCAAAGAGACGCATTGATATAAAATTTAGACCTTACCGATGTCTGTATGGGGCCCTGGATGCACAGAACGAAAAACACCTTGTCCTCAGTCACATCCCCCCAGGACTATAGTACTAGACGAGCTCTCATACAATCCCCACACCTTGATGACATGAACTTTCCTGCTTCAGTTTTGACACAAGAGACGTGAAAGCACAGCTGAAACAGCGGCTGTAAACTGGTGCTTAGGGATTGCTATTTGCCTCCCAACCAATACCCGCATGGCCCCAACACATTCTACAGTGGTGAAACAGAGCTTGCCAAATACTTCGTTTTTCATCCCCAAACTCTTCACAGACGCCGACTTCGAACTCGGCTAGTCACAACCGTTTAGATGATGTGTGCTGTTTGTTCGACTGGTTCCGCTGGCTTCTCCTAGCCTAACGAGTATAACTAATGCGTGAGAAATTGCCCCAAGGATGTTTTGCGTGCTACCAAGGTAGTGCAAACATGTACTGCCTCCAAGTGGTTGTTGAGTGAGGCCGTGAGCGAAAAATCGCTGTATATGGTGAGGAACCGCGTCATCAGGTCTTCCTGGAAGTCGTTGTCCTCCTCAGGTGGCTTGCAGTCATCCAATGGGTGACCCCAAATAGCGAGCAAAGATCCTCAAAGGCCAGTAAATGTTCGTTGTAGCGCAAAAGAAGGGCTGTGAATGCAATGAATGGTTCAAAGCTGTAGTTTACTGGAGAATAGAGCAATCACACAATATTCCCTGAAAAGATGCGGTTGCTAGTTGTTGGTAGTATCAGCTAAAATTGTGGATGCCCACAGCCAAGCAATCTCTTTACAGGTCTTGCTGGATTTTACTCCCCCTGCATCTGGGTACAAATCGCTCTGGTGTGCCTCTCTACGTCTGTGCCATTTTCTGTTATTGTTTTACGCGTGTTTTCCTGAACGAGAAAAAAACCCATGCACAGCCAGCCTGAGGCCAAAAGGCTTTACAGACACAGCCCTCTCTGAGTCATTGTTTGCGTTCGTGCTTGTGTGTGCTTCCGCTGTAGTAGAGTCAACAGTGCCTCATCCAGAGCTTGACGGTCGACAGCATCTCCACCCCTCCTGACTGCCCTGAAGATACTTTCATTCAATAGGTTTTCAAGGTCTGCCCCGCTGAGGCCCTCGGCAGCCTCGGCTATGGCCTGTAGGTGGGACCACGCATCTATTCCCAGTTGCATCCTTTTTCTTTTTGCATGCAATTTCAATATTTCATGCCTTTCTTCAAGTGATGGCAGATCCAGGTAAATGTGACGATCAAAACGCCCAGATCGCAGAAGGGCCTCGTCGATAGCATCCAGCCTATTTGTCGCTCCAACAACAACAACACCACCAGCACCTCCTGTCACCCCATCCATCTCCATAAGGAACTGGTTTATTGTTTGCACATATTCTTCGTGTCCGCTGGATAATCCCACAGGGCCTACGCGGCTACCAAGAGCGTCGAGCTCGTCGACAAATAACACACAAGGGGCCCTCTTCCTGGCGGCCTGAAACACCTCTCGTACCCTTCGAGCCCCTTGGCCCACAAACGTATCGACAAATTCCGATGCTGCGACGGACAAAAAGCCTACAGAGGCTTCTCCTGCTACAGCCCGAGCTAGCAACGTTTTGCCAGTGCCAGCCGGTCCCACCAGTAACACCCCACGCGGTAGCCGGGCACCCATTGCAGTGTACAGACCCTCCCCATTCAGGAGCAATACAATCTCCTGCAGCTCATGCTTCTGCTTGCAGATAACGTCAGCAAAGGACGCAGCGGGAGGGCAAGCCTCCAGCCCTCTGTCTGTGCCTGTGTCCTTGCCTCCCTTCAGAGGCTTTATTAGGGAGCGCAATAAGCAAAACCAAACGATGAGAAAGAAAATGGGGAACGAGAAAGATAGTACGTCCGAGACTGTCGCCGTCCTCACAGACTGAAATCGGGGCACCTGCGCAGCCACAGCGCGGAAGAAAGCCGCTTCAGCCCCAGGAACGAGATGGGATGTTAGTTTTCTCTTGTCCTTCAATAATAACAACAAACGAGACCCAGAACAGTACTGCACCTCCTCTACTGCATTAGCTGCCACCAGCTGCAGCACCTGTGAGAACGATATTTCATTTTGCGCCTTCGACCGTCGTCGTGGGGCGCACCAACCGAAAAGGGAGCCTATGGGCATGAGAGGCATCCGTGAGCTAGTTCGCGGTGAGGTAGAAGAGGTGGATGACACTTGTTCACCAGGGACCCCGCTCTGGGCCAATGGACCTGCACTAGCCTGTCGGGAGCGCCGTAGCCGCAAAGCCAATAGCATGACACAAGCGACCGCAAAAAGCTTGAACTGATATGCGTCAACTTTGGGGCATTTCTTGCTAAACAAAGGCACAATGCCAGGCAGCCGGGTCAATATGTGAGAAAACGACGAAATAAACTGCTGGAATGAACGTAAGACAAACACAGGTGCCCGTAGCATGGAAGAAGTCGTTTCATTTCCATCTTCATCCGAGGCTCTACCACCTGACCCTGTGGCGGATAGCTTAAGCAGCTCGTCTTCGCATGATGTGGCTTCTGCCTCTTTCGTTGTGACATTCTCTTTCGAGCTGCTGGAGCTGTTGCAGCTTGTGTTGCCGTTGCTCGTGTTACAGTTGCCGTTGCTAGTTTCCCTGCCCGATTCGTCGGAAGTAGAGACGCTGCTTGTGCTCTCGGCCGGTTTTGGTGGCCTTGGTGGACCCCCGGATCTGTTTAGATGCGGCTCGGGTAGCATTTGCTGCTTGCTTCGAGACGTCCGGCTGCGGCTGGCACTACTTGAGATGAGGTGTGACCAGATAATCAGTACGGCGAAAAAAGATGCCCGAAAGATAAGCAAATGCAGGCATAAAGCTTTGCTTGTCTTTACTTGTTAGAAGATGCATATACTGAGCTATTTGGCCAGCGTATAAATTAAATGAACTTCCCCTGGAGCTGGAGGGCGTGCCGCTGAGTGGTGATGCCAGGTAGACTTGCCTACAAGTGTATGACATGACATGAACCTAAAAAAAAAGTCCTTCAAACATTTTTCGGGAATTTGGAGGGAACAAACACATTTCTACATTTCCAGCATTCTTTTGTTGTTGCCTCCGCTTGCTGTTGCATGCAGGGGTGCTGTCTTACAGACCCAACAGACAGATGTATTAGGGATGGTTTCAACTCGCTGTCGTAGCTGGAACTTCTGTTTAAATTCGTTCAATAATGGGCATGAAAAGCGATGACAAGTAAGCCGGAGTTTTTGAAAAAATATTTGAGGGGGCCCAGGCGACCTAGGGGGCCCCCTGTGAACCAAGGGGGCCTCAAGCTTCGTAGTGACGACGAACTTGACGGCTGCCTTGTTCCCAAACAGAATGCTTCACGGGCCCGTACCAAGAAGACTCTCTTCAAGGTGCTGCGACGGGACGCCAACGGTGACAAATTTTTATTTGCCGACGAGGAAGACGAGCCAGAACTGCCGGACTCAGAAGAAGAGGAAGTACACGTAGTGGGGGAGGATGGTCAGACCCTTGTTTTAAATGAAGAGGAAAAGAAGAAGGTAGCGCAGCTGATCGCTAAAGAAGAGGGCTGGGCTCGGCCTCGTGGCGGGTCCAGGGAACCCAAGAGCCCTAAGGAGGGGGTTACCTCCGAGGTAGAGAACCCAGAAGTGGACAATGCTTGGAAGGAGGTCTTTGCCATTGATGAATCGTTGGCTGAACGTGCGGTGTCTCCAGTTGCAGCCCCTTCTCCCTATGACAAAAGACGGGCGCGAAGAGAAATTCCAGCTGACAGCGCGCTTCCGGTAAGACAGACAGACCACAGCCCTTCGCCTCAGAGGAGGACGACTGGAAAATGTATTGCATCACGAGGCAGGAAAACGTCTCAAGGTGAAGATCTGTCTCCACCCAGAAAGGGCAGCGACAGAGATCTTTCGCCTCCCAGAAGGTCGCAGCGCTCTCTTTCCCTCGGGCGTGAAGGAGAAGACAAAGATTTGTCTCCTCCGAGGAGGCATGCATCTCCTGCTGCGTCTTTGCGAGGTGGCGGCAGCTCCAGAGGTTATGATGCCCATCTCGACCCAGTGCTGGAACGGGACGCAGGGGACGCTAGGGATCGGGACCTTTCGCCGCCAAGACGCCGCAGAGAAAGCGCAGCCCAAGGAGATGCGGAGGGAGAGTAAGACTTTAATTGTTTTGTGATTCTCTGCTGCAGCAGCTTATGCTGCTGCAGCAGAGAAGCTTCAGCAGCAGTTTGTGCTGCTGCAGCAAAGGAGCTGCAGCAGCAGCGTTTGCTGCTGCCGTTTGTGTTTTCGTGGCCATGTTTTCTTTCAACACTTGACTTGGAGCTCCATATGGCGATCCGCAGCGACACCTTCTAGCTCGTTGTTAGGTGGCGGCAATGTGGACTCTGGTGTGTTTTAAGGTCACACAATACTTGCTCTAGGGTTAATGATTTTTGGGTGGGTGCAGCAGTAATCGAGGAGGTGAAGTGCCAGCCAGTCGGGTCATCTTTCGAGACAGAGAAGGACGCATTATATCTGAAGAGGAATGGCTGACCCTTGAAGTGCGGTTACACTATATGGGCGTGAGGCTTATAATGTACTGGGCTTCAGGGTTGACGCTCTTGCATTTAGATTTCAGGGTTTCAGCAATGTGCAGGAAGGCGCTCGCATGTGTGGAGTGTCACTTGGGGAGGTGAACCGTACATTTTGTGGAGTAGGGGCTAAAGCTGCTATTTACTTATGTCTCTTTGTCCAGTCTGCGTTGGTTTTTGTGCTATAACCATTCAGGGAACAAAGGGGAGGAAAAGACCGCGGGAGAGAGGCCCTGCTCCGGTTAGTGTGCTCTTAGCATGCTGGTGCTATGGTAATCAGCAGGGAGCCATAATGGGGCCTATCACTCTCTGCTGACCAATCATGAGCCTTCGTGGTTGAGTATTTCTTGAGCTGTTCTCCTTATTGTATAGGTACTCGAATGGGGCTCCGGTCTCAAGCAGAAGGAGGACTTGGAAGCGAAGAAAAAGGAAGAAGAAAAAATCGCGAAGCAACCATTCGCAAGGTGAGGTGTCTGCATTTGCGTTCAGCGATCCTTTTAGCTGCACGAAAAATAACTGGAAATGAAGTGGGAGATGTGTCTGTAGAAAACGAGTTGCTCTGTGTTGGATCCTTGATGTTTGCGCTTTCTTCGTGGGTGCGGATCCATCGTGTCAGGGCCTTGTTTCTATTCACTATTCACGCCACTCATTCCAGCAGCTTGCATTTTGCCTTTATCTGCGCAAAGGGAATTGCTATAGGACTTGAGAAGGGAGAGTAGAGTAGGAGTGGATAATACATCGTCGTTACGTTTGCGGATGCTCATACGTGAATGTATATGTGGCCCTCCTGCTGATGTGCTTCATCCCAGGTATGATATTGACGAAGAACACGACGCCGAATTAAGAGCACGCGACCGGTGGGACGATCCGCTGGCGAAGGCGCCGTCAAACACAGCTCAGGGCCTAGACCGGAAGCAAAAGGGGAAAGAGGACGTGGATCGAGAGAAAAAACACCGTAAGATAGCTCAAAGCCCATGGAGCTTTACGTACAAATCAGAGGTGCTTGTGCAAAATCAGATTTGGATAAGGGCAGGATCCCAGTGCTGTCATTTGTAGTTCCCAAAGAATTCGCAGTTAGCTTGCTCTGCAAGGCCACCGCGTGCTGCTTTTTCTCTGATGAGCGCTGAAGTTGGTGCATCCGCTGCTCGCACTGCGTAACAGTATTCACTGTCGTATTGTCAGATGCCACACACGGAGCACTGAAAGCAGACATCATCGAGAGCACAGCAAGCTAACTGCAATATAAACAGCTTTCTTTGAGGCCTACCTAGCCGCACGGATCGTTCATTTGTTTTCGTGCTCAGAGAGGCCAAAGTGTCCCCACGACGCTCCACCCAACAGGTTTGGTATTAAGCCTGGCTACCGGTGGGACGGAGTCGTTCGCGGGAATGGCTACGAAGAGGAGCGTTTAAAAGCATTGTGCAGAAACTCGTGAACTGGCCCTAAAAGGCCAAGACCCGCAGCAGCAAGATAAGCAGACGAAAATATTGAACTCCAGCAGCAACACAGCAGACAAGGCGAACTCGCTTGCTAGCTTCTAGGGCATTCGCGTCAGGGCCCTGGTGCTTGGGGTATTACATTTTGAAATGGAGGTTTTTTGTGGTGAATGGAGCTTCTTGTAGACGGCTTTCACTGCGGTTACACTTAGTCGTTCAGCCCACTAGCTAGTTACACTTATTTACTTCAGTCAACATACTTGAGCTTGGAGCCTGGCTCCGCTTCCCAAAGTCTGTGTTGCTGCGTGGTTTAGTAGTATGTTTGGATATATGGTAAGAGATGCAAGTTGTAGAAATGCCCGTTTACAGCCTAGTAGTCAATTCTCGCGGTATAATGCTCCATATTTCGAGTCAAGTCTTCAAACCTCGGCGCACACAACGAACAGCGAGCAGAAACCAGGGGCGCGCCGAAGGCGGCGGACTGCTAAGCAAAGCGTCTGCACTATGGTTACTTTTGCTGCAATCACGGCGAATCGTACTTTCTGCGAGCTTTGCTTACGTTTTTAATGAACGCCACCACAGTTGAACCCGTGAGCTCCACTTCCACATTCCAGCCGCGAACAGACAGTCCACTTGCAGGGCACAATGGGCCTGTTTACTTGTTCCTACTTTGCTAATATACACATTCGGAACGGTGTGACCCTGAAGGGCATTTTTTGACCATACTGTCGTGCTTAATACTGTATTTGAGGGCTTACACTAGGAAAGCTCTCAGTCTAATGATTCAATGTTGCGAATGCAAGGATCAGCGGAGACAGCTGCGTGAAACACTACAATCTCGAGCTAATACTACTAGGGGGGCTCTGAATCAAGCAAACAGTTAGGATACTGGCTGCAGGCGTCATTTGCTGCTTTTTGCCCACTTGAGCAGCACAATCTACTCAAGGGAAAAGGCTTTGCATTGGTATGCCTTAGTGCGATCGGTTACAGCATGTTATTCTTGCAACATATTCGAAAAATGGATTGCAGGAAACTCAAAATGGCACCAGGTTTAGCACCGCATGGTTTCGATCCATGGACCTGGGGGTTATGAGCCCCCCACTCTCCCACTGAGCTACGGTGCTTCGGCGCCCTCTTCACGCGTAATTGAGTCATTTCGCACGCACGAAATTAGAGGAAATGAACCGTGTTGTTCCCGCACGCTCGTTGAAATATGGCTCGTTACAGTAAATGCAATTGCTCTTCAGAGCGCACGCAGGCTATCGACGCACAGTTGTAAAAACAAGTTTATGTGCATGGGAAAATTTTTGCAAAAAAGCCTTTTACTGAGGCCGCCAATACGTTACGAGATGAACAAAAGCTTCACACCTACTGGTAAGGCCACCTTTAAAGGCATCCAGCAATAGATAGGCATGACACTGTCTTGATAACGAGCAATGTTTTGATTTTGATGCAATCGCAAAACAGTGACGCAGTCCACGGGCGTCTCTTTTGTGACGCAGCCGTATTATCTGTCCATATCATGGCACATGAGAGTAGCAGAAGCACCTAGGAGGTATTGCATGTCTCATTAACATTATCGCACTATTTCGATCGAACATTTGTTTCACTGAGCTTCCCAGTGGAAGCTTCATACGTTTATGAATGGAGAATTTTCACATTGGTAGAACGGTATCCGCCATCCTCAGTAGGGGCCTGTTGTGCCAGCAGGCCGTTCCATCTGGGAGAGCAGTTGCAGTCTGTGTTCTTTACTCATTAAAGAGTCAGTTTTCATTGATTTCTTCTGGACAGCTTCTGCTGGGCAGAATAAATGGGAAGCACAACCACAGCTCAGCGTGGTAAGATACCTCTGAGCCCATTTGGCGCTGCCTGCTTAATGCCTGCAGTGCACGCAGAAGTAAAAACCTTTGCCAGTTTGCTGCCATAAAGGTTTTGACCCCATGGGGTATAGTGAGCTGCGAAGAATTTAGCTCGTTATGCAATGATGTTTCCCTTCATTGTACGTTGTGCTGCTCAACGGGCATCATTTGGGGAGGCGAAAATTTTAAATAGTCTCCTTTTACGGGTACGGGATTCATATTACTATTTTATTTGAGACGGCTTTGCGTTGTTGAATAACCGTTAGCTAGGCAAGCAAAGGGAGCAGTCAAACTCGACTTTGAGCCTCCCAGCACTCCCTGACGAAGAGGAAAGGACCTCTTTACCTATGCAAGTTTTGAATTTCGCGTTATCGGGAGGTGTCGAATGAAAGGCGATAGTGATTCAAAGAGTTGTTACTGGATGGCGCCAAGACGCTACGCACTCTCACGCTTATTTCCGGATGAGGGTGTTTTGAGCTGCAGATATTCAATATTGCCGGAATCGAATTTGATTTGGCCCGAGGTGGTAATATATATTTTTTCTGAGGCGTTCATTCCGCAGTGGGGCTTGAGCGAGCAGCGGCCCGCCAACGTCATGGCCTGCTTGCTGCTCGGTCGCACGCAAGAAAAAATAATCGTTACTCTTGAATTAAATTGCTAAGGTGCTTGTGCGCATCAGTATTGATATGATCTTTTTTTCAAGTGTTCTACGACTCTAAGAAGAGCTGGCTCCCAAGAAACGTGATGCAATTGAATGCTGGTGACAGCCGACCACGTTTCGGCAGCTCTATCTGACGACTACCTGTTACACACAGTTCTACTTTCTATTATTTTTTCTGTTACATATTTAGCAGCACAGAATACCTCTTCGAGTTCTCTACCCCGAGCATTGGACCAAAACTCGGTGGTGAAGCCGTTCTGTCTGCTCCTTTGAGTATATCACAGGGCTATCATTTGCTACCCTATTGGGGCTTGTGTCTTTATCAGTAAATACAGCCAAGCGCGTTTCATGAAACATTGTATTATTTCAGCTAAGCTACTTTTTGGTGCTTGACGCCGGCCTTGCTCTCCAACAGCGGGAAGCTCGCAGGCGTGGGGTGACTTGTCCAGCACGCCCAGAGAACCATTGAAAAAGGGAGTTTTCGGTTTATGCGGTCCTGCTCTACATAAAAGCGCTCAATCCGTTTGAATCGTAGGGAGAGGGGCAGGAAATGGACCTATTCCTGGGGACACAGGCAATTTGCTAGGCGGGCCATTTCCGTAAATATTTCAGGCAGACAGCAGGAGACAAAAACGGCAGCTCTACCCTTGCATGCAAGCTGCTGGTTTCATTGAACAAGATTCAGAGTTTGAGTAAAAGCAAGCTTTCGGTCTTTTTAAGCGAACGGAGTAGAGGTAGCCCATGCTCTGTGCTCACAGGGAAGTGCTGAACATACAGCCGCAAGATGTCGCGCGTGCTCCGTGCTGTGCGCCATCTGCGAGAGGCTGCAACCAAGTATACTTTTTGCATTACCGTACAGTCCCTCAAAATTAAATTGGGGGAGCCGGCGGTTGTCGTCGTGGACCTCACTCGAGGCAAGCGCGCTCTCGCTGCTCCATTGCCCATGACACGTTCCGTACAATGCTCCCCCTGCTGGTGCTCTCGCTTGAGCCCTGTGCTATTGTCGCTGGTTCTTTGTGTTATTAATCTTAATTTAGCCCTCGTCGGTGCCAGCGTTGCTGCCGTTGTTGCTGCTCGCTCTGCTGATGCCACCGTGAAGCTGTTGGCTTTGTTGCCCGTCTCTTTGTAGGACCCCGACGGGTGCGTGGGAGCGCCACCATTGAGTTGGCGAAGGGAGACAATGAAATTAATCTGAATATTCCGCTTCAATGCAATGCGACGCTTTTTAAACCCAAAGGAAGCCCGGAGAGCAGCAGTAGCATCAAGCGGCCCAAATCTAGGGTTGACCCTGCTACAGAAGCTGCTGCACCGGGAATCGCGGGAGCTGATGGAAGCGTGTTTCTTCCAAAAAAGGCACAACTGCAGGTGTGATTAAAGAAGGCCCTCAGTGACTTCGTTACCGTCTTAGTTCCTGCGCCTCACCCACCCTCTTAAATGCGCGCTTTACTCCCCTCCTCTGTTGATTTTTCTTTGCATCAGTACTGAGCTTTCACTTGTCCACATCAGTTGCCATCTGCCAATGCGTTGTCTGCGAGGTCACGTATCTGTTTCCACTGTTGTCTTGATCCTACTGTTGCCACTGTGGAGACTGCGCCGCTTGGCGCAAACAAAAACAGCCTTTCCACAACCCACACGATTTTCCCTACAAAAAAACAATCCTTCGGTGTTGCTTTAATATATCGGATGCTGTGCTTGCCTGATTGCTCATGCTTTCTAACTTCCAGCTAGTGGATATTTCGAAGTCACGTCGTCTGGGCGGGCGTCTACTGCCTCGAGTGCGCCCGTCGCCGTCGGTGTCTTCTTCTTCAGTTTTGCCTCGGGACAATTCAGCTGTTGCCTCCGTGTCTTTGTCCCCTGAGACAGCAGCGGACACAAGAGAGACGGGGATAGTAGTGGCTGAGGCATCTTTCGACTTGGCGTCTCTTGTTGCTGCTCACAAGACAGGAACTCATACTCAGTCACTGGAGCTGCCTCTTACAAAGACAAGCGGGCACTTTGTTATATCCTTTTCGTGCACGAAGTTAGAGGGACTCATTGCGGGTCAGACTTGGCTCAAACAGTGCTAACAGCGCTTTTTATCACTGCTTTGCTCACTTGCGTGATTTTAGCGCCTGCTGTAGCAACTGGATCGCTGCCTTTCGCAACCCTATTACGTCAGCGTCCCGGTCAAGCTGTTCACGTGCAGCTGTTGCTGGTGGAGTTGCTGTTTCCCAATTGGCCGCTGCTGTCTCTGTGTGTTCGCGCAGATGAGGAAGACTGCCTGTCTGTTTGCTCTGCTCTTGTATCTCCACCACCAAACGCACGCCTGCCGCAGGTCCAGGGCACTGAAGGCAAGACCATCTGCTGCTGGTCCTAGTAACGTGGTCTTCGGCTATGCTATGCTGGCCTAACCCTTTTCAACCTTAAGTCCGCGTTTATGTACTGCATGTGATTTGCAATGCTGCAGCCGAGGCCTCACCTATTCCACAGCCGGCAGCTGGGGCTAAACGATCGTTGACACCTGCAGCAGCAGCAGCACTACTTGCTGGAGTAGAAGCTTGTCAGCCCACGGTGCTGCGCCTGCCGCATAAGGATACACTGCCTTCTTCTTTAGAAATGCCGACCTTCGAGGAAACTGCACCGAAACAGCAGCAGCAAGCGGCAGCAGCTACTCCAGCATTCAATGATGGGGCAGCAAAGACTCCCTCCATTGAGAAAATCCAGCGACCAGTATGTCTCCACGGCAGCTAATGCCAGCTATATGTGCGTTTTTGTTATTACTTTGGACTTAGATCTTGAGGTGCAGCATCTTTTGCTGTTTCTGCTGGTGCTTAGTTGCAGGAAGTTGTGTCCACGGGCACTGCGACCACCCCAGCGGAATTGTCTCCTGCCGAAAGCCAGCGGCAGCAGAGGCAGCAAACACAACAATCACAGCAGCAGCAACAGCAGCAGCAGGTTGAGCTGAGACAAAAGGATGAGCTGATAGCGAGTTTGCAGCGGCAAGTAGCTCTCATGGAGGTATGTAACAGCTTCATAGCAGCAACAGCAGCAGCTTCACCCAATTGGGCACAAGCACTAGCATAAATAGATGCAACGCTTCATGCATCACATGTATCAGTAGAAGCGCAAGAAACACGTACCAGCTACTTGTTTTGGTACTTCGCAGGCAGAGGATCGGCAAATGACGAACCCCCAGTTGGCGCAGCTGTTTGCTCAGATTGACGAGCTGCATACAGCACTTGCTGCAGCGCAGGAGCAGCAGCTTGCAGCAGTAAGAACTTGCACGATCAGCACTAGTCGTAATGCAGACGACCACTGCAGGGTATGCAGATGTTGAAACAAATATGACGGATCAAAATCTAAGCTGCTGCTGCGTTTGCTGCTGCCAGCAGCTAGCAATTGCTAGTTATCGTACCTTTTGCGCAGGCTGAGCAACTACAAAAAGTGAGAGAGAAGGGAGATGGTAGCGCAGGAGCAGCTGCCCTGCAACAACAGCTGCACGCAGCAGAACAACGCCTGCAACAGCAAGAGCAGCAAACCCGCGAACTTACGCTACAGCAGCAGGAGATGCAACAGAAGAGCTGCGAGCAGCAGCAGCAACTGCTGCAGCTGCAGGCTGAAAGGGATGGCATGCAGCTGATTGCTGATGCCTACAAGGTATGCTATTGTTTGTTGTCGCTGCTGCCGCTGCTACTTGTGGCAGCAAGCTGCTTTGTCTGCATCACGGAATAAAAACGCACTTATGCGTTTCTTTGACCGACGACATAATCAAATCGTTCGAGTTTGGTGCAATCTTCTATACTGCAGAAACAGCTGGAGGAAGTCCATAAGCAGTTGCAGCATCAGCCGCCACATATGCTACAGGAGGAGCGGATGGTAATCCTGTTGCAACAAGTAAAACAGCAGGAGCAGGAAATTCAACAACTTCAAAATAAATTAGATTATGAGACAAGGGAAAAAAATACAGCACAAAACGAAGTACGGCTGCTGCAGAAACAGTTACATGAGCAGCAGCAGCTGCATCAAACCAAGGGCAATTCTGACTCCGCGTCAATCCTTCAGGAGCAAATCATTTCACTGCAACGGCAGGTATTACTATGAGGTGTACAAGGTTAATCTGCAAACCGCAAAGGCAGCTTCATCTGTCCGACTCAGTGCAGTCATTAAAGAATGTTTCGCAGTAACTGCTTTATCAACGACAACGGTATCACGTGCCTTATGACATCCGAAATATCCTTTAGGCTCGCATCACTATTGAGAGCGGCTTGCTTGCACTTTGCGGATTTTGCACTAAGTAGTTTCATTTCGAAAGTATCTGCAGGTTGTGGAGGCGTCGGAAATGAGGGAGTCGTTGCGCGTTTCTAAAGACCAAACGATTGGTGATCTCAGGAAGGCCCTTCAAGAGATGCAGCAAAAACAAGTCAGTTCCTTCAGAAGCATTGTCTCAGTACAGGTGGCAAGGGAGGGGCTAGTATACGCGGCGAGAACAGAAGAAACAACAGTACGACGGGCATTGCCATACTGCGCTGCTATTTTTCGTGCCCTGTCCGTAGGGAGAGACGCAGTCCGTGCACCAGCAAGCGCTGCAAAAGCTAAACGCATCTAGAGAAGAGGCGGAAGCTCTCAGGTAGTTCGACGTAACGCCAGTCAGGACACAACTAGAAGTTGCTTGGACGTTTTGCTGTAGTTGCAGCTAGGCATACTTCGTACCTTGCACAGGAACTTATCCCCCTCTAATATCGTTTCCATCACATTACCGCTGTTGATATGCAGGGAGAAAGTTCGCTGTCAGGAGGAAACACTGCAGCGGCTTCCCACGCAGGCAGCCTGGTCCTGTGCCCAGCAGCAACACCAAATGTTGCTGCAGCAGCAACGGGAGTGGCAGCAGCAACAACAGCAGCAGCAAAGGCAGCAGGAATTCGAGCTTGCAGCCAAAGCAAAGCGCATAGAAGAGCTTGAAAAGGTGACGCATAGAGCATAGCTGACTAAGCCTGCGCTGTTATTGCCGCTGCCCAAGTTTGATGCTGCATTTAGCTTCGTAAACTATGTTGCTTCTGACTTTTTGGCGTATCCTCCAGCTATTGGTTTCGAATCTCGGTCAGTGTTTTTTTGGTCGTGAATGCCTATTGCTGCATGCCTTTACTACCGTTCGCGTAACTGCTGTGCCATGTTTAGGTCGTTGGGTTTTCTGCTGTGTCTTGATAGGAGCTGGTTCACGCCAAGGTGGAATTGGCTGCGGCAGAGCAGCGGCGACACGAAGACATTGATGCTTTCAAGAAGAAATTGCAGGCCGTCAAGGAAACCGTGGTGGCGTACGCCGCTGCTTCCAGCAGCAGCCTTCAGGTGTAGAAACGATTGTATTTCTTTAGCAACATTTCGGCATCGAACAGCACTTCACAGCGCAGAAGAGAAGCAGCTTTCACGACAGGCTCGCACATTTGTTATCTTCTCCAGGGAATAGAATATGGAGAAATACCTTTTGTTGTCTTTGAAGCTCGTGACCGTGTGTGCTGCAGGCGCATTCGACCCCCAACTCAGGGAGAGAGGCCAAGCCAAATAGCAGCAGCAGACACAGCGGTAACTCCAACGAAAAAAACAGTCCCGTCAAGCGGTTAGTGCACATCAGTACTTTAAAAGCACTATTTCGCTCTGGTACCTCCAGCCGCCAACCCTACAGCAGGAGTAGGAGCAACAGCAGCCACTTCGCCCCAAGTGCAGCTACTGAGATGCGGCCTTCTGGAGCATCCGCAAGCAGCTGCGCTCAACACAGCTATTCTATGAGCCGCGGTCTTAATGATCGCAGCAGCAACAGCGTTGCAACTAGCAGCAGCAGCAGCAGTAGCTGCAAGGTGCCCTCAGCATCCGTCTCCCTGTTTGGCAACCAGCCACTCGGAGTGGCTTCTAAGGGCTCTTCAGTGACGCGATTCTGCGCCTCAAAAGGTGGTGGCTGCAGTGTCATCTCAAGTAGTGTGCCTTGAATGCCTCATTTCAAAAGTGTGACACGCATTGCGTCCTAGCCTTTGTTTGATGGTTGTACCTACATCACAGGAGCTGGATTCTGTCTAGCTCATTTTTTTGTCTTTGCTTTCAACAGAACAGGTTTGCCGCCAGCGAAATATGCCCCAGCGAAATATGCCCTCATTTCGATAGTCAACAGTGCGGCCTGCGGTCTGAAGAGCTGAATCGTTAGTCTGGCCTGTTTGCAGGCCAGACTGACGATTCAGCTCTTCAGACAAGCGGCCGATTAGTGAGCAGGCACTCAGCTATGTACTGCCTTTCCCTGTGAACAAAATCAGGGAAGCTAATAGATCCGTAAACTTGAGAGTTCCTCGACAACCCTAACCGGAAAAAGCCTTATAGCTGTTCATATAATGGAACCTTTACACTACAGCCATTCGGTAATCGAAAAATGAAAAGGACAAAAAAGATTTCCTCAAAATGCCGTTCCTACAGAGCAGGGACAGCTGCCTTTCCACCCAAGCATCCCACCTCTGGCCACCTCTGGCGCTAAAACAAAAAACGCCATTGCGAAGGAGCGACACAGGAGAGGAGCAACGGCAGACAGGTAAACGCCCGGATGAGCTACTGGACGTTAGGCCTCGCCACTGCGACCTCCACATTATTGTGCGCACTAAAGCCTGCTCACAAAGCCCAAAAAGGCAGTGAAACCGACTTCTACAGTTGTTACTGACAACGCGATTTCTGCTGTTTCCTCTTCTGCGGCTAGCAAATTTGCCACTGCCCACACTAGTCCTACTACCTTTCCCTTTTCGTATTCACTCGCACAACGCACCTGTGCCCCCAGGAATAAGAGCCACCGTGTCTTTTCTATCAATAACTCCCGAGGTGAGTGCTCCTTTCTTTCCAAAGACAAGCTTCTCCAGATACTCCTAAGCAACCGTACGTGAATGCAGCTATACTTTCGCATCATCATGCTTCGCAACAAATACGTACAATAAAACTAAGAAAAAAAGGTCAAGGCAAACGGGAAACTGAGAAGTACCCACCATGCACCTCAACAACCCACCAGAATGCAACGCAAATTTACAGAACAAGATTAGTAAGAAGGCTGGAATACACCTACCTTCGCCGGGGCAAAAAAGCAAGTGCACTCTACAAACTTCACAGGAGGTCAAATATACGGGCAACCAAAGAAGCAGACAATGCAAAGCGTACAAGGAGGATAACTTGGCCTGTCGACTTTACAACCGCCGCTTTCTGGTGCGAAATTTCACGGCCGCTTAGAGCGCAGAGCCATCTGTAGGGAACACAACAGAGCGGATAACAAACAGCAACTCCACCGTGGGTCACAGGAATCGGGACATCTCCCTGCTTGACGGCACATAACAGGCCAAAGAAAAGAGCCGATATACAAAAAAAACCAGGAAAAGAAAGCAGTTTTCTCACCGCGTGTTTTCGGTGTCTTCTTTGGAAGCAAGAACTGGCTTAACAGTGATAAGCTGCTTGATGCGTAGTGGGGCCCCCGTAATGGGGCAGCAAAACCCTCTGAAAACGACGCAAAAATGGACCACTTGAAGCAGTGGTAACATTTTGCAGGCGCAACAGCATGAGCATGGTCTCAAAAGAAGTGCTGCAAGGGACACTGACTCCCGAGCGAATAAGCGCAACACCAGGGCTTTTCTAAAATAACATGTTTCTAGACTAAACGCGTGCAAGCGCGGGCACAAAGAACAGGAAGCTACGTACGTGAATTGAAACGATCAATTCAAGGAGAATAACCCAGACCAAAACAGAATGTGACACGCAAACTCACTTCTGGGGCTCCTTGGGCTTCGCCTCAGGCTCCTCTGGTGTGTTCTCTGGCACCTGAACGCGGCAAGCAGAACCCATTAGTAACAAGCTTTACACATAAGCGTAAGGGCTGAGGAACTCCTCTGCGCTTCCATAACGAAAAAGCATTACAAGCAAGCCAGACCTTCCACTACACTAACAGCCATTACAGTAGGCATTTGAGTCCGTCCCTAATTTCCGTTTAGACCTTCAACCCTTCGGCGGACACATACCCAGAAGTTCTTCGCCCTTGCCTCTTCCTTGGAGTTGATGGTAGGCTGCTCAAGAGTTTGTCTCTGCAAACATAAGCTTAAACCTGAGGCGCTATAACGTTTATAGCTTGAAATCGGCTTCTGAACCCAAGCCCTGGCATAGAATTCAAAGGCTACAGGCAGCAGGGCCCGCGTTTAGCCTATATTTATTATCTGAAAGAAAGCCCGCAGGTACAAGGGTTGCGGGCCAGGATCCCAGCATTGGTACTTGCTTACGAATTCTTCTGCACTCTGAGGACTATTTTTTGTCTGGGCAGGCGCAGCAGATGTTTCCAAGGTGAGAGAGGCCTCTGCCTCTAGGAACGCGCGTTGCGCCGCTGTAGCATTTGCCTCTGCTGCAGCTGCCGCCTCCTGATAAAATAACGGTGCACAAAATAAATTTAGCTTAAGCCAATCCGTTTGGAGCAAGATGCATGCGAAATTTGCGATTGGTTAGCGCAGTTGAGTATTAACGCACGTACGTACTAACTACTTAGGGTTCGTGCCTCCGTTGTTGTACACTCTTCATGGCTATGTAAATACATTGCAAGCTCTAGTATTCTGATTAGCGCCGGAAGCTGAAGAACTACATTGTAGAATTAGTGGCTTGAGGCTTGCCTGTTCCTTTTGTGCCTGAAGAGCCTCCCAAGCCTTCGTCTCCTTCTGGATTTTTTTCTTTTGAGACTCAAAGTTAAGGAAAAGGCATTCCTTGCAGAAGATTAGGCCCTGATATTAAAGATACAAATTTTTGAGGCGGAACTCTCACGAACTTTGTGGCGTGCCACAAGACTTTAATACTACGTCGTGTTCTCCGCGGACAAGGATAACAGCAAACTACCTGAGGGGTCGCCAGAGGATTTCGGGCCGGGCTTAGGCAAAGCCAACAGCTTTCAAACCGCCTGCATGCACGAGTGTCGAGCCTTCCTTTTAGTGTCCCAACTCCCAGAGCTGCAAAAGCAAATAGCAATAATTAGAGGGGCGTTATTTCATTACGAGGCATCTGGAAACGGCGAAGCTGCGCAAGGCGAAGCTGAGCTACTCCGTGCTCAATGTAGCCGGAGCATGGGAATCCGAAATTTTCCACTCGTGTCTGACCGCGGATCTTCTTGCGCTCGTGGTAAGAATAAAAAGGAGCAGATGTTGCGTTTTTACTGTGGCGAGCCATTGCTCTGTTCTCCCTCGGCGACGTTCAGCTCAGGTGGAAACCACAGTCATTAAAGGGTGGCAAGTATAAGAAATTGTAGAACTCGTCGCTTAGACTCAATTCACATTGCCTGCCATGGAAGGCTAAAACTCAGAGAGCCGCTGCAGCGGCGAAAATAGACAATTTAGAGGCCAAGAAACGGAACCCACACAATACATACAAACTCATTTTACATGGATTTACCGGTAAAGTAGTTGTAGCAACCTACAAGTGTAGCCGTACCGTAGTGAGGGGCCCATGGCAAGCCCCAACACGACAGCCGACTATAGCGTTGTCGCAACTCTGGCACTTTGTCCTCATTCTAAGGATTTTAGCTGCTCTCTTTTGTTGTTTTAAATACATTTCAAGTGGCCGCATTGGCGCTTTGAGGCATCTGTGTGCACCGAAGGTGGGCTGCGGCCTCACGGGCCCTGTCCTACAAGGGCGGAAGGGCGCGCCGTTGACTTTACTCAAATTTTATTCGTTTCGTCTGGGAATTTGTGTAAAACACTACATCTAATGGGATCAGGCGTGTATAGAGAGGGCCATGCTCCTGTCATGGAGGCCCTCCACAGAACGCAGCAATGCCTGCTGAGGATTCGTTGCCGTGGACTTCTCGCGGTTATCGTATTGCTTGGGTTTGCGTACGCTCCGGCTTCTCCAGCTCCTGTTCCTATTCCTCCTGCTCCATATGATACCCCGTCAATTTCTCATTTTCCCGAGAGTAGACATCCGCACGATATCCCGCGACTTTTGTTGCTCCATGACTTTCCCGTGAAGAACACGGAAAGGGAGGCTGTGGACAACTCACTGAAGTTCGCTAGGCAAAAGTACAAAAGTCTGATGAAATACATTGAAGGTGCGGCCACGTTGGTGTCCCCCGCCTCTCCCCTGTGTGTCTGAGTGGACCAGTCTCGCCTTATCCGCTTCTTCTTCTGGAGTAGTCTCTCTTCCTATTTCGTCGTCTTTCTCTGTCTCTTAATGGAATCTTCGCGCACACATCTGCTTCCCCAGAAATCTTTCTTTGGTCCGGATTCGTCTCCGAGTAAAGCACCTTCATCTGGGAGGCTCACACTTGTTTGCTTTTAGTATGCGGCTGGCTCGTGTTGTTTCTATTTTTCATGCTTTTGTCTTGCTGAGGAGCACACGAACTCCACGCGAATGTGTTGCAAAATAAGGGTTGCCTGTCTCTGCAATGCTAAATTTTTTGTCTCGTTGCACTCTGCCGTCTTATCTATTGTTACCAACAAGTGCTAGCCTTGCGGAGTGTGCAGACACGGAGAAAATTGAGGTCACTGCGTTGCCCATCTCATCGCAGCCTCAACTGTTCGCCTTCGGAGAAAGCGTCTTTCACTTTATCCTCATAATCTCTTCTTCAGATAAACAGCGTCAGTCTGTTGCACTCTAAATTTCTGACATCTCTTCTGTTATGCATTTAATCTTACAGCCCAGCCTTTGACATTTATTCTCTTGTGCATTTAATCTGAAAGTCTTGAGCCAGTTGTTCCAGGCACTGCAGGCACGCAGTTAATTGCCTTTATCGCGCACGTGAACTTGCAGTTGATATTGTCTGCTGCTATACAGCTCAGTCTTGCTTCATCTGTTTCTCCTACCTGTTTTTGTCCAGAGATTGCCACTTTCCTTCTCACTTCGTGGGTGCCTCCTGCATTGTTCTTTCTTCGTTGCTACATATTTTTAACCTCATAACGTTTGGTTTATGTGTCCAGCGTTGAATTGGCGACTGTTTTTCAGAAATTCGGGAACAGACGGTAAAAGATATACTCAGCTGGTTGGACAGCGGAGGTGAAGAGTCGCAAGGAGCTGATCACGAGGTCCACGGCTACCAGAAACAGCAGCAGCAGCAGCAGCAGCTTGCCGGGCTGCGCAAGGAACAGCCGCAGGAGCAGCAGCAACAATATTACTCACCGGTTGAAAAGAGCCGTTCGCTGATTCTGCTTCTAGGCCCTTCTGCCTCGCCGTCTTTATTGCAGCTTGCAGCTGCTGTTTTTGGCGCTGATGCTCTAGCTCCATCGTTTTTGCAACAGCAAATTGCTGATGCATTTAATGCCATTTCTCTCAACAAGCTTGGCAAGAAACAGCAGCAGCAACCGCATGGAACAGTATTTGCAGTTCGCGATTTGCTCAGTGGTCATCCTCATGTGGTCACTCCACTTTCAGAGGGTGTGCTCGCCACTTTCAGCTGCCGCCACAGCAGAAGCAGCAACAGCTGCCGTTGCGAAACTTCATGCTCTGTTTTCGCTCAGTGGTTCCTCAAGCGCCATTTCCTTTTGCGAGGGTCTTTCCTCCTGCTGCTGCTGCATACTATGCTGCAGATGAGTTGCTGCTCTACAGTGGAGCGTATCACCTGGGATCTCTCCAAGTCGGCTGTGGTGGTCGGCACTGCGCGAAGGAAGTTCTGCCTCCATATGCCTTTCCTTTGCTTTTGGCGCCTCCTACTGCATTCGCCCTAGAAAACAATATCCGCAGCAGCAGCAGCAGCAATAACAATAGCACTAGCAGGATGGCACTCGCTTCCGCGTCGCAAATGAGGGGCAACAATCGAGTTCTTCTTCTTAGTGGGCCGGACGCCTGCAGTAGCATCTTCACGTCTCTCGAATCAATCCCTCTTAATGGATATGAATTCGTCAGGCTACCGCTGATGCTGCTGCTTCTTTCATCGTAACGCGGGGCCGATGCTGCCGCTTCTGCTTGAACATTGGTAGAATCGATATGCCGTGATCATAATCCATGTTATTTACGTTTTTCATAACATGCATGCGAGAGGCGTGGGCCAAAGGCGCTTAGGCGGATTTGCGCAGCTGCAGTGGATGCTGGGTGGGATGCCCCCTTAGCGGTACCTGTGGAGGCCTGCCACCTGCGCATCTTTGGTCTTTATTTTTTCAGAAAGTTGCGAATGATAGATTCTGCACAGAAGTACTGGCTTGGGCCCTGAATAGGAGGGGAGTTCTCCGCTGGTCGAACGTCAAGCACCAGAAGGTTATGCGGGTCCTGCGGCTGCTGATGCCGTTGTAGCTACCGTTGTAGATTCTTGAGGCCACTTGTATTTGCAGGTGAAGCGCCGCTGGTTTCTTGCAGTGGATCCCAGGTGGAGTGAAAGTGTTGCTGCTCTTCGCCGTAACGCTTGTTTGCGATTCCACTTCAGGTGGGCAATGGAGACAGTCATATGTACACCGTCGGTGAGCACCTGCGCTTTTCGGTGGATCTCCATGAACTTAAAGGAGGCAAGTCTATCTTCGAACTATCGTTCGTCAGTTTGTGCCGGCTTCTATCCGTTTTTCAAAGTGCCCTTCTCTCTAAGTGCTCCTATTGCGTTGCACCTGCTCCTCTGTGCTGACATTACTGTTCGTGATTTATACAGGGCAGGTGTAGAGCGAGGGATGCACGATTTGATGCTTAAAGTTATTGTACTCAGGTTCGTGGCACCCGTTTGAGGGCAATGATGTTCAGCTAGAGTACTCATTGGGCGATCCTCTCATTCGTCTCTTTCTACAGAGGCAAAACGGTAGCCCCACTTTCTCTACAGAATTTAAGGTACCAGCTAATGGGACAAGGTGCATACACGACGTTAGAGATCAGGAAGATTTGGTAGAAACTCTGGCATTAAGGAGAGCAAAATGGAAGTGACGCCGGCAGTGCTCACTTATTGAACCCCAGGAAAATTCACAAATTAATTCACATATTCACCGTGACTCCTCCTGGCAAGCAGATGTGCCAGAATGTTTCTGTGCCCAAGTGCCAGCTTTCATATTGTGACCAAAGAACGACTATTCAAGGTCCACAGCAAGCAAGTAGTTGGACATGTCCATGCCTTTTCAGGCCCCCGACAGGGCAGGGATTCTCAAGTTCGTGCTGCGTCACGCACGGGTAGGATATAGCTCTCTGCTTATTCGTAAGTTTATTTCGACTTTTTGAGTCTTCTAGACAAGGCTATGGACAGAAAATTCAATACAGTCAGGGCGAAACGCGAAATGCGTTGGTCCACGTTTGTGAGGATGCGCTGCGCAGTCACCTCTTCCCTTCTGTAGATCTTTGTCCGTGCGTTCGGTATATGTATTCGATTTACGGCAAACGGCATGAGGTTATGGATATTGTGCCCATTCGTAGTACGACTGCACGCCAACGTCTCAGCCATGCACATGGAAGCCTATGTTCAAAGAGAGGTGTGCGTGAAGGCTGTGCCGTGGCGCCACGCGGCACCACATCATACGCTGTCCCAACCAACTTTTAAGGAGAATATACGATTCTCAATTTTACGTTGTGAAGCGGTGAGCCCTATGATGCAGACTCCTTGGCTCCTTTAAGAACTCCGCGCTTTGATGCGGCTGAGAGGTTCCATCTTGGCGGGGCATTCTACTACTTCGTGGTGATTCTTGTCCTTTTCGGTAAGCCTTTTCATATAGGACGGCGCCCTCAGTGCTTCAAAACTGTGCTTGGGGTTCAGCTTCGAAGTTTTGCATGCCGAAGCATGCATTTTGCTTCTTGCTTCGAGTTGTCTCCGCACTTACTCAGGGACTTTTCTGTTTGTTATCATGCTTATTTATGGAGTTATTTCATCAAAAGCCGTTCCAAAAGACAGGAAGGGGGTTTAACCATCAACACCCCGTCACTTGCGTAGCGTCCTGGTGTGAAGGGGCGAATTTGACGTGTTGCGGCCTTATTCTGCCGGGGAGGATTGGCTGGCAACAATACAGTCAAATTTTGGTTTTTCAAATGGCGTAGCATTCATTTAAGATACAGTTATCAAAGAGGACGATTTGCGCTTTTGGATACCGCGGCGCTTTAGTTAGGGGCCCCTCTGCGACAGCCCCGAAACGTTGTATGTGCTCTGCACGGCTACACGTCTACATTTCTTTGGCGGATTGTTTGCTGAGGCTCAAATGATCTATATAAATTGGAGATACTAAATTTGCCTTTTTGGATCATTCAATTCTTTACCCTGTATGTTGGGCCCACGAAGGCGTAAGGGTGATTGGAAGTCGCCACGAGAGCAGTTAACGCTGAGCACTTCGTGTCTCTCTCTACTCATCAAGCGGGATTTCGTTCATTTCTCTGGCCCATAAACAGGCAGAATGATTTGAAAGGTGAACCGCGATACAAGGTGGAGAGAGAACAGCTTGCATATTAGGTTTCACGCAGTGGAAACCCCTAAAGACCTGTGGAGCCTCCTGCCAGCGGTGTCGTAGCAGAGGACATTTTCTTCCGAACCGACTTAGCGTCTTTTATTCCTTTCATCACTCTTCCGAAACAATAATTTGGTTTTCGAAGCCATCTCGGAGATACGAAGTGCAGCGCAAGAGGGGATGCGGAGGCCGCTGGCTTTCCCTCATGCAAGCGAACCTTCACCTTCTTCGTCGGAAGACGAAGATGCAGCAGAGAGGGCCCTCAGATTTCGAGTGTACACGACCAAAGCAAAAGACGCAGGTGGTCCCTCCCGTCCCCAGCATGTGGTGGACAAACCTATTGTTTGGGGCCCTGCTGTCATGCCACTTTCTGCAATTATAGACTGCCAAGACAAAGAAGCAGCAGGAGCCGCACGTAGATCCAGAAGCGACGTTAAGGGAGTTTGGGAGTGTTTTGTTCTAAAAGGTGTTCTGTCGAATGCGGAATGCCAGCGAATTATTGAGAGTGCCGAGAGTCAGGGATTCGAGTACTGGGCGAAGGAGGCAGATACTGGTGCTTCAATGAGCCCCAGCGTCGACTCTGCAAACAGCAAAAATAGCGCTGATGACCGCAATGAGAGAAGCGAGAACGTTAGCCCAAGCAGCCGGCTGAGTAAAAAGGCAAACCATAGTTATCGATCTGCGCACACCTTGGAAGTGGAGCATCCGGATCTTGCTGAGGTCATATGGGTGGGGACTCCATACTCAAAAACGAGTGAATACAATAGAAAATTTAGAGGCTTTGGGGGGTTGTCGGGAAGCTAGTTGCCGGCGTCTGGGCCCGCTGCAACGCCTTGTATGCAGCCTTATGTATATGCCACTTGCTGCAGCAACGCGTGGGAAATCTGGTTGTCAAAGAGGTTCATTTTTCGCCAGACGATGCTGAGAGATTCGAGCGAGACTTAGAGGGCACGTGGGAAGCCTGCGGAGTCAACAGCACACTACTTTTCGCGAGGTGCTTGCTGGGTGACAACACATGCCTGAAAGAGCGCAAACTCAAAACCTAGACCGAATTTTCCAGACAAAAATGAAACAAACAGGAGTCACTTGATAGGAGAGCAGCATCCAAAAGAAGATTAGCGGTTTCACTTGAGTCGAGGCACCGGGCGAACAGACTCAGCAGGCGCAGTAGAGCCGCCAAGTGCCATCCATGAAGTTGCTCCTAACTGTGAACAGATTCTCAGATATATGGTGAAAGGAAACTTAACGCAGAGGATCTGGGGCATTCGCTTGAACAAGCATGAGGAAAAGCAGTAAACTAGGCACCGTAGGCTCATGTGTTTCTCGGGTTATATATACAGGTACGCGAGTGGAGAAAATTTTGGGCCGCATACTGATGGCTGTACTATCAAAGACTTCAATTGCCGGTCTCTGTGGCCCATGGTCATATACCTGAACACCCCAGAAAGTGAGCCACATGCTTAAGCAGTGGGATTGCAGAGTTAAGACGCTTCTGATTGCCATTTACCTATTGGAAACGCTCGCAGATGCCACGAGTGTAGCAAAGAAACGGATATGGGTCGAATGTTGGGTGCTAAGCATGAGACTACAGGTTACACGAATCTAGAAATCTTGCGTTCAAGTTACAGTATTGCGATGCATTTCAGCTGGAGGGGAGACTGCCATACTCAAAGAAGCGCAGAAGGACTTACCGTTTAAGACTGACGCAGCAGGAAGGTGACTGACCTCCCACCGTCATTTCGGCTACAGGCAGTGGTAGAAAAGACAGCGAACGAGACGTGCCGCGTGGAACTAAACTGCAGTTTATTTGGTATGTCCTAGTGCAAGGCTATTAAATCGGACTGGCGAAGGAAGTCGCGGGTTTGGATCGGGCTTCTCTGGATTGTGCTTTTGTACAACAGGCTCACAGCTGACCCTGAATGCGTGGTTTACAGCTGTAAGGCGAAAGTTGGAAATGCCTTGCTCTTTTATCAAGCTCAGGCAAGCTCATTCACTATCACCAGCCCAGGCAACCTCATTCACTACCACAACCTCGTGGGCTAATGCAGGAACGATCTCTCTCTTCTGTTGCCGCTCTTTACTTTGCAGATGCATGAGGGCAGGCCGGTGGGGAATGGAAGCGTGAAATATATTATCCGAACGGACATCATGTACAGGCGGAAGGTGCGTAGCGATAGCTCGCAAAGCAGATTGTGACCAGGCTCTGGAAGTTGGCGCGAAGCCGACACGCTAAGAAATTGAATTGCTCCCACATGCCTTGTTCGGCATTTCCCCTTCTAAGCGACCCTGTGACTGCTCCACATCTTTGTGGGTAGATGATTGTTGTTAGTGATGTGCATGATTCATTCTTCCAGGAACCGCTGTTTACAACTCCAGCCGACAAGCGGGCGTTCGCTCTGTGGCAGGAGGCGCAGCTACTTGCAGAGAAGGGCGAGACAGATGCTGCGGCGCAGCTATTCCGCCAGATGACAAAGGTCTCTCCGGAACTCGCACACTATTACGGCATGTAAGGAATGTTGAGAAGGGAAGCTCTGCACGTCACGCACAGTGCCAACTGCGTGGTATGCCTACTTCGTTCTAATTTGGTCTGCGGTGCTGCACGCGTGATCCCATTAGAATGCGTGGCAAGAGACGGGAAATCTACCTGAATAGATCTCTATGGTCCCAGTGGTACGCAGGTAGCAAGAGAGCAAACAAACACTTAAAACAGCAAAATGAACGTGGGAAACCGTGAAGCTGGATAGAGTCAAAAGCTTGAACGGTTCTTCAAGTGTGGCACCCAGCAAGCTAGGTTATAAACATCGTGTAGTTGCACTTGGGAAGAGCTGCATCGCAACTTTCGCCTCGTCAGCTCTGGCGTCATCAGCTGCCTTTTTGCAAGTCTCCCATAGGATTGATATGCATTCTTCATCATACTACTCGTCCAAGCAAAAGTGGTTCGATCTCACCCCTCCGGGGCATAGCTCTGGGGTTCGCTACTCTAGAACCAGTCGTATGGAACTTCTCTCCATACGCAGTAAATCCTGTGGCACCGGAATTTGTGCTCTAACGCTAACTCTCCGCAAATTGGCGTGAATTACCATTCATGTGCTACATCTCTGGAGGCATTCATGCCTCATTCCCTATTTCCGTGACTAACGAGTTCTACCTTCGCATGGAGGCAACTCAGTTCGCATGACCATCTAAGTCATGCATGATATGGAGCAGCGAAGGAGTGTGCTTTTTGCGTGGTGTGTGCAACGGCCACAGAACGGGAATAACCAACTGGGTGAAGTAGACTGAGCAGCTCCGCTACTGCCCACGTCACTATGTGTCTTGATTTCCTGTAAATAAAAATGAGCTGCAAATTTTTGCAACATGAGGCTCGGAAAAAAGCCTGCTACAGGTCACACTGCCTGCAACCGCCGTGCGGAACTGCTCGCCGGTCCGAAGAATGAGCTCACACAAAAATGCGGCGAATACATCCCACCCTCGGCGAAAGCAGCTCAGCCACCGACAAAATCAGGCACCTACCCGTCAAAAGGCTTAAAATTAACATGAACTAGACTCAGCTGGTGTTCCCACAATCTGTGGAGCTGCCAGCCTCTTGGGCTCCGCTTTCTGACAGCGAGCAGCACAACCCACGGTGTCAGGAACTGCTCAGCCAGGGCTTGCAGCTACCACTGCCATTTGTGCTGACAAAAATTCTCGATGGCTTTCCTACGCGTCGCCTTCCATGCGTGGCTTCAAAGAATCCCAAGCCGTTCGCGGCAGGTTTCGCACAAGCGCGAGCAAATGGTCAAACTTTGAGGCGGAATCAAGATGCACGATACTTTTCCTGGGAGGCCTCCACCGCTATTTCGCCAAGCATCACTCCCAAACATACGTCTTTCAGTCCAATATTTCCATATATCGACATCCTCAAGCACAACAGCCGCTTCTTCAAATACAACAGCTGCAGCGAACTGCAAAAGCTCCTGACGCGGCCGCTCGCCTAGTATTTACTTTCCCTGTGGGGATACACATTTCAAAGAAGCCAAAACCGCCCCAGCGAAGTCTAATCGTCGAACAGAAAGTGCTACTCTGCATTTCGTCTCATGAACCCGTTCTATTCCAACTAAGCAGGAGGCTTCCTCCTACATGATCCACATGAACGCTGCTGCAACAAGCTCTCCAACAGGTCAGTCCGCCTACCTGTTTTCTTGGCAAACTCTTCACAGATTCGGTGCTGCTGCTCGTAGAAGAGCCCGGCATCACGCCACGCAACTAACGGAAGAGCACACAAGGGCGCATGAAATAATCCTGGCAAACGCGTTTAATACGTAAGCTAGCTTGTCGATGAAAAGGGGTCTACTTAAAGTGCCAAGGCTTCCGCTTACGCTTCTAAATGACCCAAGTAGCCGGCTGAGTCCCGTCCTCCCCTGTCGCTGTGCACGCACATACGCACAAATAGTTTTCATAACATTTTATGGCGAGAGGCAGATGCCCTGCTTATATACTGGTATGATTATGTCTCAAAAATTTGCACCTCGCTTCTTGATTGTGTTCGGGACAATGGAGGACTCCTCTGCCTTCTCCGCTGAGCTTCCGACGATCCCTCACTGAAAGTCCGGCGTCTTCCAAAACCTAACCGCCGCCGACTCTGCAGGCAACATTTGACAAGTCCGATTTCATGAAAGAATACCCGTGGGGAGATCTGCACAGTTATAATGACGGCCTGAAGCTCCCGTATCGCAGCTCTTTGGAACCCGCAACGGAAACAAGGGCATTGGCTTTTGCTCCCGCCGATATAGCTGGCCATTTTATGCATCGACTGCAACCATCAGGTCCACGGAAGTGTGGGGGAAACGTATGTAATGTTATCTCAGCGGATTAACCTCACACGTGGCGTCGTTCCACCTTCAGAAGACTGCATGGTTTGCCACACGCAATCGCACAATAGAGTCGACATTTAGCTCCATGCAAAATACCATGCTTCCAGCCTATTCAGGAGTTCACTGCTTAACAGTGCGGTCATGGACTCCCAGGAATCTAGAATGATCATGGCAAGACCACATACAGAGCAGGATACATACAAAAGCAAAAATGCCGGGAGAAGCGACAATTACGAATCAGTGCCACGGCATCTCCAGGCAAGACAAGCCGCATAAACAACCTAAATTCAATTTAAACACTGCATGCCCTCACAATTGTAGCGATGCTTCCCCAAGGCGACCTTTGCGGACTGCTAAGTAACCCTTCCTGACACACATAGAAGATTGCGCAAGACAAAAGCAAGCTGCAGCCCCACAAATATGCAACTACCCTCACCATTCCCTGTATGGACCTAGGGTCTGCATACACAACGCGACATTTGCACGTCGCACCACTTCTCTGTGCAATGGGCGTTACATATCAAAGAGCTGTTTGGACCAAGTGCCAAGCACGTGCCCTGGATGACCTGAAGCGGGATAGCGAACTAGAGACCGCATATTCAAAACGCGTTAGAGCGCCTACCTGCCAAATACTGCTGCTTGCGTGAGGGCTGCTACCCAACGATGCCGAACTGCTGTTAGAGCTTTGAACCTTCAACGCACGACACAGATATCCATAATGCTCGCTATGCACAGGAGATGCATAGCAGGAACTTTCTAGCCGTACGTATTTGTTCTAAAAACATACTTTCGTGAGTTTTCTGCTGCAAATACACACTACGCGCAAGTTTAGGAGAGCAGCATAAAGTAATCCGGTGAAAAACCCTCTTTCTATCGTTGATTTTCCAAGCCACGGCAGCGATTTTGTACACTCCTAGAACCGATGTAATAATGGCCTAAAGTCAGAAACTGGGACCCTGGGTTATTCTAATCATTTCATGCTGCAACGCTAAGCTTGCTTCCATATTCGCGAAGTCCGCCATTGACGAAGAATTTGCATGGGAAGAAGAAACACGTACGGAACAGCCAACATCTGATGAATATGCGTTTAGTAAAGCTAACAGCCTCCCAACTCACTAAAGCAGCACACTAAATAGAAGAAAGGGACATTAAAAGTGGCCTGAAAAACGCGACTCTCAGTGCACCTCGAATAAAATAAAGGGCAAATCCTGCGCCTCTAAGGCTACCTGCCTTCCTACGGCCCTTTGTCCTTCACAGATCGGTTGCAAACAACAGCTGAGCGTGGACAGCTCAGAGGGAAGCAAACTCTGATCTTCCAGACCCAATACTCACTGAGAATGAGCTTCCGAAAACCCCCAACGGAGTGAATAAAAGTCCCCCTGAAACATCTTCCCATCTCGGGCCCGAGCGAGTACTGCTACCACTCCCAGTCCTAACCTGTCGGAGAGAAAGTTCGCAGAAGCGGAAAACCAATATCGCACCCTCATAGTCGTACTTGCTCGCTTTGCTCAAATATGATGTAAGCCAATACAAGTAAACCCGGCATTTCCATGCTGTGCGGGATTGCCTATATGCACTCGGCGTAATTTCTTTTTATTGCAGCCAGATGGCGCACATCCGACGTCGACATCAGAGCCACTGTTATGAATATCTAGACGTCTCTGCGGCCCAGCTGCAAGCTACCTTTACATAAAGCTACAACGCAAACTCATCAGCAGAGCAGAGCCAGAAATAACCTCGTAAAAACCTACTCTTGAAGCACGTGAGTCCTCTCCAACAGTTGAGGCGCCTTCCGATGGCAGTGAAGCACTTCCACCCTCCTGCTGCATCTGTAAAAAAGGCATATTACAGCGCTGAATTGAGGGAACGCATGCAAGCCAATATTGTCTCTCCAATGCAGCCGCAAACCTATATGCCACAGGTACTTTCTATCCACTGATGATTGAATATAAGTCGGTTGCCAGCAAATGCAGAAAAACTGTCTCCAATACGCTTGAACTCGTCATGCAAGAGCTTCCTAGAGCAGTGGCCCCCTACACATCCGGCCATGGCACGAAAGGACAAAAATGTGGCCAGAGGTTTCCCTAATGTTCCTTCAATGAAAATTTTTAATGTTGTGCACATCTAACGATGACCCCTAGGTCTACTTCAGTGCGCTTCGCACGCTGATCAGACTTGCATGAAGCTGTCTCTTCACCTGCTCTCTCTAGCAGCAAGCGCAGCTATTTGCGTGACCAGTTACCTGCGCGAGAACTTCCTCCGGCTTTATGAGACCCATACCTCTGAAACGCTGTTGGTCTCGTGCTCTCGACGCTTCTCGCCAGTCTGATGCACCACCACGTTTGTTCTTCTCCTGAAAAAGTCTCAACCGCGAAAAGAGCAGACTGCATCTGTAGGGGAACAGACCCCTACACAAAAGCTCAGGTCACTGTCAGGTCAGTGTGTCGTAGCCGAAATTTTCTGCTGTGCAGGCCTCAGCAAAAACGTCAATCCTATCCGTTTATGCGTGAACTATTAATTGCAGACTCATGAACACTGCATACAAATCCCTGATGTCTTTAAAAGCAAAGCCCATCTACTACGGCAAAGAAAGACACTGCCTTCCACTGTCAAGACTAACTGCTCGTCGTCATCCTCTCTGTCAGACTCACCATCACTTTAGCAACTTCTGTGTAGTCCATATAGTGGCTCTCTGTACTTGTATCAGCCTGTGACGCAAAAAAAGCATTGCTCAAAGCAAACCGAGACAATCACATGATTGGATTGGCTTTCTTGAGAAAACGCAAACTCCTGAACCTATCGCCGTGAAAATCGAAGTGCTTGACACCGCACGAGCAATCCTCTAGTCCAACTGCGCACTCGGCAACATAGAACCATCATGTAGTTCTTGAACAAGAAGTGTGGATTGTCGTGCCATCAACCGACAACTACATGCACTGTAAACCGACTACTACGTGAGGAGCTTTTACACGCAATGCAGCAGGCCCAAACACACGGCAAGCACTTACTCCCCAAACAAAGCCACGTCTCGGGTTCCTCTGAGGAGGTTTGCGCCTTTCCTTGGCCTTTTGAGCAGGCTGCGGCATATTACACAAAGAACCGTCAACATCAACGCACCTCGAAACGTGACATGTGAGCCAGACAACAAACAAGCCAAGAAATGTTATATATTCTTTCTAGTGAGCCAAGGTGAGGCCATCTCAACCTTGCAGCAAAGAAACCCTCATGCAAGAAAAAAGAAACGAAAGCAGCTTACTGGCCATGAAAAAGGGACCCGTGGAATATCCTTGTGTTCCATTTCTGATTCTTCCCCTGCAGCGCCGAGAAACATCTACACCAGGTCCAAGACACGCACACAACCCGAAAACGCTATCAAAAATAGCGAACGTTACAAATAGCGCATAGTGCCGTCCGCCATGCCAAGATACCCAGTTCCATTAACGGGCCCGCGTTCTGCGGTACAAACTCTTTCAAAACCAATATGACTGCGTAAAAATTTCGACTGAATATTTCAAAGGTGTACAACATGCAGGACTGCCAGGAGGCGCCGAAGGGAAGCGCCACTTGCTAACGCTAGGCAGCAGTCTCCTACCGGCCAATTCGAGGTAGCTCGCTTTATACTGTCGATAACAGATGAGCCGACTCCACTCGGCAGGCTGGTATTAGTACGGGACGCCTGTGCCAATCAGGCAGTCACACATGCACAGCCTTTAAGAGACACCGAAAACTCACCACTGACTTGCCAGCTGGGGAGAAACTCTGGTTGCATGGTGCTACATCCAATATTGCACATAAATGGGGCTCCCACTGAGTGTCTATGATTGCTGCTGCGGCTATTTACGACAGAGAACAAGTCTCCACGATAATCGCGATATGACGCGGCCACCGCTTACGCTCTGGATTCCAGAGCCTTCTAGTTGTGGTCCGAAAGGTCCCATATTCACGTATATCGGTTCCTCCTGATTTCCCTGTGAATGTACACGCACTCATTTGCAGAAACAGTACGGAGGCGGCACTTCCTGCGTGCGCGCCATAGCCACAACTTGTAATGTGCATCCAGTGGTAGAGGTAAAGGAAGCAACGCACAACATAGCTAGTTCCTCCTATGATGTAATCGCTCTAATGCACAACAGCAGCAACAACGCGTGGCACTCGCTCACTTGTTGAGAACTTTCACCCCCTTGAGATGCAAAACCTCCCATATCCACGTAAATATCCTCGTCCTCCTAAATATGCAAAATACGAACCTTTAGATAGGAGTAACGTACGTAAATAGCTCCACTGCATTCCCGACCATTACGGGACTTCGAAAATGTGCAACAACGCGTGGCACTCGCTTACTTGTCGAGCACTTCCCGCTCCCGGAGGTGCTAAACTTGCCATATCCACGTAAACATCCTCTTCCTCCTCCTGAACATGCAAAATGTAAACTTTTAGATCGGTGTATCGTACGTAAATAGCCCCGCTGCATTCCTGGAGGGACTTCGAAAATGCGGATTTGTCCGACTGCGCCACATTAACCTACAGGAAGACCCGAATCTCCAAGTTTTAGACTCCTCATTTCCATGTACAATGGCTCTTCACTTTGCTGAAGCAAACACGCATTCGAATATAAAAACGTGTCTCGGTGCAGGCTATCCAGTAGTACTCTACTGCTGTAGAGAGCTATCAACTCCCATGCGCTGAAGCTCTCCAAAGACATCTACGCAATAAAAAGGGCGGCAGTCGAATTCGGCGGATCTGATCTCTCCAGCTTAACTTTCAGCCGTCCCATGGTTCTGATCTGGTATTTCAACACAAAACTGCAGCAGACAATGGGCCGACAAAAGGCGCTTACTGGTGTCCCTTCGCCTGAGTCTGCACCTATGACCGGAGCTGGAGGTGCGGCAGTTTCTCCTTCCTCAATGTCACTGCCTCCCTCCTAATGACAAGAGAGCGGACAAAAGTACAGAGAACAAGCATCATACGGGAAGCGGGAAACTGGCATAGCTGAACCCGAAGTTGAGACGCTTCCTGATCTTGGCTCACCGGTCCTGCACATCTTTCATCCAAATCAGATGAAAGTAGTCGTGAAGGCCTCCATGAAGCCCGACGAATTGCAATACCGCATGACAGGAGCAAGTAGGTCAAGGAGACGCAAGCAAGTAAGGTAGCAGCCTTGGCCAGGTATGGAAGAACGCATCCTACCATAGGTGGCTTCTTTAAACCTCTCTTCACAGGAATGATGACCGAAAAGGACGGACTATCATCTTGTGGTGAGGACTCCAGATGAAGAGCAACGTCCTGTGTTAATACCGGGCCAATCATCTGGGTTGCCTTCAGCTCAAGCACTGACAAGACAAGCTTATTTGGTATGCAAGCCTGTGACGTAAAAGGGTCTGTTACTGCTAATAGCCTTTCCAAGTCGAGAGATGAGGATCGACTGCTCCGCGTGACGACAGTTTTGCATTCGTGGGAGACTCCACATCAATCTACTAACTGCAAAATGCAACCTGTTCTTATAATAAAAATCACAGGAAAACTAATGTAAAAGCGTAGAGCCAACTGCGCTTCTAAACAATGTCCAGATGCAGACGCACCAGACAAAACATTTCCGCGTGCTCGCTCTCCCCACTGGTGAACTGAGCGATGCAGAAGCTACACAGTATCTTCCTTCCTCTGCCCCGACTTTACTCCCTTTTCCACGCTTTCTCATTCGTGTGTTTACAATTCATCAAGACATCCCGCGGGCATGGCCTTGTGCTCCACTGGCTTGCATGCTCAGCCATGGCGGGCAGAGGATCACAGGCTATGCGGCCTTTGTCCTTTCAACTGCAACTTTTTGCCGGCTGTCATGTCGAGGCCAAATTAGACGCTCAGACGCCTTAAGTGCAATTTGCACAGAATATGATCAGTTAGCAAAGCCGAGCATATGTGGCTCATCGAAGCACAGGGATGTGGCAATCGTTGGAAATGGTTAGCCGATCGCTGGTTTGGGGACTGCGCTCCTGCGCTGTAGAGTTTTATCGCTCCGAATTGATTCAGCAATAGTTGGAAGATTCCAGTGCCCGAAGTGGAGTAAGTTGATGGCAGGTGCAACAGTCGACGTCGCGTGATCACGGCCACTGGCCCTTGGGATCGGTTGTGTTCGGTTACATGACTGGTTTTCACGTTGGAACTTCTCACCTTCGCTTGCAGCCTTGCAGTTGGCGTGATCGTGCCTACTTGGCATTTTTCGTTCTGAGCCTGGTCTTAGGAGCACAGAAGGCAGGTCCTCAGATGTGCAACATCTAGCAAAATTGTGTTCCGCATTCATTCACTTGTAATGCGGTTCCTGTTTGTGATTATATGGCCCTGGAAAAAATTGCACAAATCTAAAACCCACCTAAAGAACATGCTTACGAATTCGCCTTCTCCCTGGTGGGAGTTGAAATACTATTCATCGAGCTGAATTCCGTGCAAGGCAAAGTGCGGCGTGAACAGAACTACGACATCTAGAACATGTATGAACTCATGTTGAGCTGACATTTTGCCGGCACTAGACTGTTTATAATTCACGGTTACTTTCGAATTTGAGTAAGACGTTTCTCTAAGCTCAATTACGGCGGGCGGCCTATGCCTAGAGAGGAAATCACCAAGAGGCCGAACTACAGGACCAGTAAACGAGCTACAAAACTGCTAGTGGATGGGAAATTAGGGAATATCAGACAAAATTAAGACACAAAATTATACACTGATGTAAGTGAGAGGGCAATGCGTGGGGTCAAGGCGCTAGGTGCGAAGTAAATGGGCTCCTCTCTGAATTCTCTCAGCGCTTTCTCCCCTTTGAATACGCTTTTCGGCTTCCCTCTCTGAAGTAGAATTTCGATTGTCTGGGGCCCAAGCAAGCCAGGGTTTAATGCTTCTTCACCTCATCTAGTTTATTTTTTGAGTCTCCAGGTATTCTTGGCTTCTGTTGAATTACCTCTACTCCATTCGCATAGCGCGTATGCGTAAAATCTTCTGCAGCTCTCTCGGCTGCGAAACGTGGGCTTACAGCTATCTATGTACAACACCGTGAGCCTGTACACTTGGTTCAATCTGTTCAGTAGTGCTAGAACTCTTACGTGTAAATTCTAAATGTTTGACTTTGCGCCAGTAGTGCACTCCACTGTTTGAGGGGATGATTTTTCCATTCGCTTGCTTCAATTTCATGAAGCTTCATTTTTTCATGCGTCCACGACTCTTACTGCTGAACATCTGCAGCACTGAACTACCTTCATTCCATTGCACTTAATCGGCCTCCATAAGTACATACATCTGCATTCACTTATTCATGCGCAAGTAGCAAATCCTTCAAGCCTTCGCAATGATGTGCACGTCCCTGTTATGCTCATCAAATTTATTGTATTGGCAAGTAGCGTAAGTGCTCTCAGAAATGAACAGTATATGCATGTCGAAGATACAATGTTCTACCACATGTAAGCAAGGCCCAGCGCAGAAGCGGACTACAACGTGCACACTATGACGCATGACACTGCTTTGGGACTGGCAGCTGACCTGTAGCATGCACAGCTTCTATGGACGCCTTGGAGCCAGCCATTGGTAAGTGGATCCAGCTATGGTTTAATGCTATTTAAACATAGCAACTCTTCTAAGCAGCAGTTTCTGTTGTTAAATCGAGCGTGGTAGGGTGCCGCGATGAGAAATGCGCCTTCACTGGACGGCCACAATAGCAAATCACAGGCGAAAACAGACTGAATCTGGGCTTGGCTCATTACAAAGGAGAGCTAAAGCACGAGTGATTCCAGAGCATCTTGCGAGAAAATAATGTAAAGCTTTGACTGAAAAATAACCCTCTCAAGGCTAACTCGCCTTAGCACAGTATGATCTTGTCTGAAGAATAATGTGCAGTGCCACTATGCAGCCTAGATACGGCCTTCGGAATCATAAAGTCTAGAATATGTAAATTGACGTGGTAACAAGGATCAATCATCATGCAAACGGAATTTTTCTTTGGATGATCATGCAACTGGACCGTGTACCAGCACTGCTGGAAAAACAGGTCGGCGCTTTGTGTCTGCATAGTACTTCTGCTGCCAGTTTGCCTTCAGAATGTGACTCTGTGTTCTATCGCAGAGCTCCCGGAAAGGATTGGTCATCGAAGGAGTGAGCGTAGGGGCTAACGCGTCTACGATATCAAGATTCACAGGAGTCAACGGATTCTCGCCAATCAATCATCCACCGAGCTCTCTCCTCGAAGGGAGAGAGCTCGGTGGATGAATGGCTTGTCGTGTCGTAAGCAAGTTCCAAGGCCGCAAGCAATGGCTCCCACTCGCGTTCGTCAGATTGGATGCAGGTACGAAGCATCTGCTCCAGTGTGCGGTTAACCCTTCTAGTTTGACCGTCACTCTAGGGATGATAGGATGAGGACATCGCGCGTTTGATGTTAAAGAGGCGACATAGTTGTTGGCAGTCCGATATGAGCAGCTCCGGAAAGCCGTGGTAGCAGACGGTCTGCGAGAAGCTCCGCGGTGTCTGCTGCTGTGAATGGCTTCTTTGCAGGAACGAAATGGGCCATCTTGCTGAGGGAGTTGACCATCACAAGAATCGAGTCGTGTCGTGTCGTTGTAAGGGGAAGACCTGTGTTTCTGGTTCAGGGACTTCGGCGCTCGACAGTGACTTCATGATTCATAAGCAGTAGTGTAGGTGCGCATTCGTGGCCGGTAGTAGTGCTTGCTGAGAGCCGCAAAGGTCTTTGTCTGGCCTTGATGGCCGGCTGTGACATGGTCGTGATTTGAATGCAGAACTTAAGAAAGGAACTCAGGGAATTGTGGGACGCAGATGCGCCACAGTCCATGAACGCGAATATACAGGTAAAGCTGCACATAGCGAAAGGTGAACTGACGATTACGAAACTCTGTTTGCAGAGCTTCTCCTTGTTGGTTTGATGCGGCCTTGTAGGGAACGCGAAAAGTGGGATACTTCGAGTAAGCTTGCGGCCATTGGTGTACAGCACAGACACTACCATAGGGCTTGCTGGTGACCTATTGAAGATAGCTAGCTGGTGACCTACAAGAGGTCATAACACGGTACGAGGACAGGACCCTCTTACTAGAATCGAAGGAAGGCGATTTGTCGGCAAATTAGCGCGTATACACTAGACGTGCTTGAGAATACCAGGAGATTGGGGCTAGCGATAGCGCCGGCACCGATGCTGTAGTGCACAGCGCCTACTGCTGCGACTACGCTGCTACCTGCCCCTCGAGCAGGCCTACAAACTACACCTAGCGTAGGCCCATTTGCTGGAAACTGTAGCTTAATTTCATCGAAATACAATAATTCTTAAGTGTTTCAAGATCTGTCTGTTCGATTCGCCCCACTCTGGGAGTTTGCCTCCTAGGCCCTATGGGGAGGAGGCCTGCACTGGTGCCGGCGCTATCGCCAGCCCCAGTCTCCACACATTTCCCACACATTTGACGTATGCATATTAACTCCTGGACAATTTTCCTTACTTTTATCCTAGTAGGAGGGTCCTGTCCTCCTCCAGTGTTGCGACCCCTTGTAGGTCGCTAGCTAGCTATTGTAGTGCTGAGACACTACAATGGGGCTGACTAGTGTCCTAGGGATGATAGCTAGCTAGCGACCTGCAAGGTGCCGCAACACTGGAGGGGGCAGGACCCCCACAATACATGAAAAAATAAGAAAAACCGTTAGTGAGTTCTAGTGAAAACGTGAATTGTGCGGAAATCGTGTGGAGACTGGGGCTGGCGATAGCGCCGGCACCAATGCGGACCTCCCCCCCCTAGGGTCTAGGGGGTAAGCTCCGAGAAGGGAGCGAATCGAAGAGAGAGAACACAGACACTTTTTGAATTGTCGTATTTCGACGGAATAAAGCTATAGAGACCGAGAAATGGGGCTAATCTAGGTGTAGTATGTAGACTTGTAGAGGGACAGGAAACAGCGTAGTCGCAGCAGTAGGCGCCGCGCACTACATTTGGGGGCTGTTCCGGGATTGAAATCGTTATTCTTTCCGGACTTGGGAGTATAATTACTTTGTTTTAATGCCTCGCACCTAGAAATCTTTGCTCGGTAAGGGATGCATGTCCGCAACGGACGCGTTATCGGCCGGTGTCCACAGGAGACTCCTACAATGTCGGTCAACAAGTTGCCGAGCGGGACACCAGCCCATCATCGCCACGCGACTCCGGAACCCACCGTGGCAGAGCGGCCGCATGGGCATAAGGAGGCGCCCCCGCAGGAGACACCTCTGCCCAACGTTGCGCCAGGGGACAGTCCCATCGTCACCTGGAACCAATTCCAGTCTGCAGTGAGCGTGATTAGAATGGTAATAGGGGGAGCCGGAGCATCCGGACGCAACGACTCCTATACTACCTGAAGACGGCAGCACTATGAAGGCCTTTCTGAAGCGCATCGAGTGCCGGTATGCCCAAATGGGATTGGAACCGCGCCAGTGGGGAGATGCACTCATAGACCACCTTGTGGGCCTGGCTCTAACTTTTTGGATGTATCTACAGGAAACTATCGACCTAAGTGACTGGGCAACAGTACGGCGCAGGCTTTTGGAGCGGTTTGACAGAACAATGTCACAGAGTCAATTGTTAACGGAGTTGACAAAGGTACTGTGGAATGGCGACCCGAAGGAATACACCGACCAGTTTGCGGCGGTGGCAGAACGGGGGTTGGGTCTAGCCCCCGACGAAATCGCGGACTACTATTGTGCCGGGCTACCGACAGACCTCCATCTCCTAATCATCAATAACGGACACGTGAAAGACCAGTCGTGGAAACAAGCGGCAACCTCCGCAACGCGGATCAACGAGCCCAAGCAGAGTGTGCTGGAACTCCGAGAAAGGATCAACCGAGCCATTAGGGCGGCCGCCCAAGCTAAGGCACTTAGTGGGCGCCAGGAAATTGAAAATTGTTCTGGTGGAACCCACGCTAACTGCTTTGAGTGTCAGGGTCGCGGACATCCGGCACGTGCCTGCCCTAGCAAAGGGGAACGTACCAGACGTCCGGGGGAAATCTGCAAGAAGTGCGGCGGTGTCGGACACTATGCTCGGGACTGTCCTACGTATGAAGGAAGTCGGCCGGAGCAGGTGGACAAGGGCAGTAGAGCTCCCACCCGTCCTAGCACTGGGAAGATGGAACGATCAAACGTGCGGGCCTAGGCGTGGGTGGAGAGC